AGGGCAGCGGCTCGTGCGTTTCCTTCAGGTCGGCCTCCCTAGCGACCTTGCAGAAGGGGCTCCAGGGTCCCGAGGGCTGCGGGAAGGGCGTGGGTCGGTGCCTTCAGGCGCTGAGTGACTGCTTGGTCGAGGGGCCCCTCACGCGGACCCCTGCGGGGACTCGAGGGGATCAGCGCTGGTGTGCACGGGGCCTGTTAGGCCCTTGCTTTGGGGATGCTCCTAAAGGCAGTGGAATGGAGGGGACGGGTACCTGAGTGCCCAAGGGCCACTGGTGAAGGCAGTGGAAGGCTGGCTAGGATGAGCCCTTAGAGCGGTTGGATGTGAGTGGGTTCGGGTTTGTCTAAACAAAACCGAAAATCGACTGGGGTATTCGCAGCTTGAGAGAGCACTGGCTACAAAGCCCGGTAGTGATGGACTTGCTTCTAGGCCCCAGAGCGATCAAAGGGAAATTAGCATTCTGGTTCAGGAAGATGCTGGTTCCGTTAGTAGAGAAACCAATGAAAGAATTGTGCTTGGGATTTTCTTTTAAACGTCCTTCATGACTGAGATTGGGGCTGGTGGTGAGGGATCGTATAAAGAGGTTCGAATGGCTGCCTTAAGGTCCCAATGTGAAAAGCTTACTTTTTTTGTCATCGCTTGACCATAGAAATTATTCAAGATGTGGTTTGCCCTCATGAGAAAAGAGGAGCTCTGAAGCCATTGCTTGATGAGCAGTTCTTCCTATGTGGAAAAATCGCATTTCTGGAAACATCCCCGATGTTGTAGATTTTGTCTAGTAAAGGCTGTTCTTACTGGCCAGTGCTTGGCACTGATTACCTTAAAAGTAGTGGGATGGAAGTACAGTATCTGACGCACCATTGGAGTTGAGCTCACTTCTGTGAGAATTTTAAGGAAGTGGGTATACAGACTTTCCAGGGAAATTAAAGCCTGACTGTGTTCCTCTAGTCCCAATTCCAATTTACTTTTATACTTAACTTTGCAACCCCCTCCCCTCCTTCAGCCTCATCTGTTTCAATGGTGCAACTCTCTTCATCCCTTTTTGGTTACCAGTCTCCTTCAGGCCATTCAGAGGAGGGAACAGAGGGGAATATGAAGTCAGCCAAGCCCCAAGTGAACCACAATCAGCATGGGGAAAGCCAGCGGGCCACCAGCCCCCTGCAGTCTACTCTCAGTTCTGCTGCATCTCCTTCCCAAGCATACGAGACCTATATTGATAATGGACTCATATGCCTTAAACACAAAATTAGAAACATCGAGAAAAAGAAGGTAACTTTTTTTTCCTCCCACTCCTGTATATGCACCATCTTGAACAAGAGTTAAGGAGCTTACTTTTTTTCTGTCAGGACTCATAGGTGTTCTTTCCTAAATAACCTTGAGATTAGCTGCCTGAAAACAAGCAAGTAGACTAAAAATTGGAGTTATTAAAAATTTTTCTGTTTCATTTGTCAACACAAATGAAATATTCTTCATAATAAGATTATTATGCATGGTGCTGTTGAAATACTTGAAGAGCTAGCTATTTTAGGTCAGATTAATTCCTTGAATGTAGTATTAATGTTTCTTTTCATAGATGAGTAATAGCTTGATTTTTTTTAGCTTGTTTTCCTTGTGACTTTATGCAGCAGTTGATATTGCAGTATAGCTGCTGCAGTCATTGGAAGCTTTAACCATGGGAGAGCCAGAAAATTCTTTAGCACTAATTTTTGCGTTGCTAGGTGATGCTTTAAGATTGGTAGGTGAAAGCATTGTAGACAGCCTTGTAAAGAGACCCAGGAATTATTACCATCCTAACGTTTCATTAAATGCTGATGTAAAGATCCAAATCATTCTTCATTTCCTGAGTCATGTAATCTTTGAAACAGCCACGTTACTTTGTTGTGTCATGATTTCTCTTCTGCTTCTGACAGGTAAGGTTTAGTGATTAGCTATATGGACCTACACACTCAAATATTTTTGTGCTAAAACCTAGATAAACTTAGGAGTGTTGCTTTTTAACAGAGGGGTATAAAGAGATTCTTAAGAGTCTGGTTGACTCTTTTTTTTTTTTTTTTAAGCTAGGAAAGTAGTGAAGAAGGGCCAGTTGCTAGTAGCTTCTCTGTAGCTCTCACCATTTATCTTTTGAATGCATGCAGTTGATCACAAGCGTGATAAGGTGAGTGTGCCTGGGTCAGCACAAATTCCCTTCCATGTGAGAACTAGTCAAAGCAGGATCTATTGATGGAGACTCATGAATGGCTTCCCTCTGGTGGAAGAACTATATATAGGTATACTTACTTTCTCTAGCTTAACCTCTTTAATTTTTTTTTCTTTTTTTTTTTTGGTGGCTCACTGGTACAGGGATCTGAACCCTTTGACCTTGGTGTTACAAGAGTGTGCTCTAACTGACAGAGCTAACTGGCCAGCTCGCAACCTCTTTAATTTTGAATACCTACCTAATAGTACCAGCGCTTTTTTCCCAAGCTTCTGGGAAAGCATTTTAAGGTATAAAGCCAATATACGAGGAGTCTAAAAAAATGCTTTTAGAACACTATAGTGGGTTTATGTTATTATTGTGGGGCCAATAAATGCAATTTATTTTTAGTGTGTTTCCTTAAATGTCAAATTTAGTATAGAAAATAGTTTCAAGTTGAGGTTACCATAATGCTAGAAAAGAAATCTATTGCATTTCTGTATTTCCATTAGGAAGTTTCCTATTGGGAAAATGTCACATAATTCAACAGGTAACTTTAATAGTTTAAGCATGAGGTTAGAGCAGAACTTCTTAACCTCAACAACATTATTGACATTTTGTGTCAGATAATTCTTTGCTGTGAGGGGTTGTCCTGTGCGTTGTAGGATGTTTAGGTACATCCCTGGCCTCTACCCACAAGATGCCAGTAGCACACTCCACATCCCTCCCATCCCACTGAATTGTGATAACTGAAATATCTCCAGATATTGCCAGTTATCTCTGGAGGACAAAATTGCCCCTGATTGAACACTGCTGGGTTAGGAGCATATAATTGACTAGGTTAAGTCCTTGTGTGTAAAGTACTCTAATTACAGACTGATGTTATTCTGTGTATTTTTTTCTCCCTGACTGGAACTCATCCAAAATTGGCTTGTAAAATGGTATTCTTGCAGATTGATAGCTTACTTGAAGAACTTTGTTTTCATGGGAAACAAAGTCTGGTATTTAGTTTATTCACTTCAGAATTTTATATCAGACTGTAGTAGATACAAGTTTCTCTTTTGTAGCTCAAACTGGAAGATTACAAGGATCGCCTGAAAAATGGAGAGCAACTTAATCCAGACCAGTTGGTGAGTGGTTTATGATCCTTCGTCAGACTTGCTGGTTTCTTTTTCTTAATAAAACTCTCGGTGGATTTAATGAGACCAGATACTTGATAGGCCAAAAAGAGAGTTAGAATCACTGGATTTTTTGAAAGACTTAGGTTGTCTTTATCTATTAGATCTGATAGATTTGGGTGTATTTCTCTTGGACTAGTAGATGGTATGGATGTAGGTTGTTAAATAGGAATGAAAATGTAGACTGTTACTAAGAATTACTATACAGATTTTAATACAACTTATGCTAGGGTGGACTAAGGAGAAAAGGGAATACTCTAGCTATCAGGCCTTCACTGGTATTTTCTAGACCTGATATCTTTCTGCTCTAAAGTATAAAAGAATATTTACTATAGCTTGCCCAAGTTTTCTCCAGTTGCTTCCCCTTAATTCCTTTTATGGTTTTTCCTTACTTTTTAATCCTAGGTTGCCATGTCCCCTCTCAGGAGGCATGTTTATCTGATACCCAAGTTTTCTCCAGTTGCTTCCCCTTAATTCCTTTTATGGTTTTTCCTTACTTTTTAATCCTAGGTTGCCATGTCCCCTCTCAGGAGGCATGTTTATCTGATAAATATCTGGCCTTTTTTTTTTAAACTTAATAGAAATATTAGACTATTTACAGTTTTTTTGTCATTGTTTAAGTTGTCCATGGTATACCTGTACTTACTTTTTAATCCTAGGTTGCCATGTCCCCTCTCAGGAGGCATGTTTATCTGATAAATATCTGGCCTTTTTTTTTTAAACTTACTAGAAATATTAGACTATTTACAGTTTTTTTGTCATTGTTTAAGTTGTCCATGGTATACCTGTTAATTGCAAATTTTATTTAATTTGTGAAGAGTTTAAAAAATATATATTTTTTATTATGAATATTCATGACATACAGATTAACAGAAATTGCTCTTATACCCTGTGTCCCCACCCAATTGTCCCCAACCACCTTCCGCCTCCCCCTTTCCCCCCACTCTGCTTTGCAGCCCTATGAATGTTCCCTCCCTCTGTAAGACCACTGCACTACTGTGGTCTTTCTTTTGTGAAGGAGAGTTTTTACAATATAGAAAGAAAGAAATGCTTCATTGGTGTTTGCTATTTTGACTTGATCACATCTCCTGGCTAAGAAGGGACAAAGTTTATTTAAAATTTATTTGATCTAGTCTTTATCTTTTTCAACAAATTTTTTTTTATGACTGGATTTTTATTGCCATGATATTTATTATATAGAGAAAGTGGAAATAGCTTATTTGCTCAAAAAAAGAGGTGATACAGTTAAATATATTATGGTGGTTTCTAAAATAAAATAATAAGTCTTAGAAATACATTTGACATAAGAATATTTATAAAACATTAAAGGGGAAAATGCAGGTTATAAAATAGTATGTCTTGAATGATCCAATTTTGTAATACATGTTTAATAAAATCTGGACATGTATATAACATGTTGAGTGGTTATTTTTCTCAGCATGGGATTATAGGAGATTTCAACTAAAGTTTTTGGTTGTATATCATAGTCACTGACATTCAAGGACTTTTCCCTTGCCATATTGACTCTTCTTCACTGACCCAGAATTTTTGTGATGTAGTAAGTTATAATTTTGCTGAGGCATAGATTTGAATTGTGTGAGCTCTGGAATGGTGTGCTCACTTAGCTGGTGAGAGGACTTAGCTGGACATTCAGCATTTCAATGTGGCTTTGTTTTCAAGTAGTTATGGTGTGTTCAGTAACTCTTAAAGTGATAAAACTTCTGTGGGTAAACATTCTTGAATGAAGTGTTTTGTTACAGTAGTGTTCTTTATTTTTGGGAAACATGGGCAATGGGAGGATTGATAGTTCTCATGATTGCTCTCTTAAGAAATGTCAAGGATATGCTATATTTCAGAGCTCCAGCCAGACAAACTTTAAGATCAGTATTTCATTACTGTCTTAGTAATCACGTTTTCTATAATAAATACATAAACTTTGATTTCTCTAGTAATATGCTAACAACTGCCATATTTATATCACCAACAGATCAGTCCTCTGAACTCTACATTCCTATATCCAGTTATCTGACATCTCTTGATTTCTTCCTGTCCCCCAAAATGTGCTCTTCCTTTAATCTTAACTATGTCAGTTGGTTGCTTGATCAACTAGAAGGATGGAGTTGCCAAAAACCTCGGAGAATTTCTCATTTCCTTTTTCCTCATACGTCACATCTAACTCATCAGCAGATCAGGCCAGTTCTGCCTTCAGAATAAATCAGGAAGCTGACCATTTTTCATAAATTCTACTTCTGCCATCCTGGTCCAGGATCTTTCATCTGCATAACTGTAATAGCTTCTTCACAGGTTATTCTGTTTCTACCTTCTCCAAGTCTGTTCTCAACATAGTAGACTCAGTGTCCTGTTCTGATGCAATCAGATGTTATTCCTCTGCTCACAAATCCCCTTGGTTCCCATTAGAGTGGTAACATATCCTCACTATGGCCTACAAAGCACTAAAAAATATGCTCCCCCCTTCCTTTTACATTTTTACTGCATTTCCTATACTTCTGTACCCTGCTAGCTCCATTCCAGCTACACTGGACTTCTTGCTGTTTCTCAAATATACCAGGCACACTTCTACTTCAGGGCTTTTGTACACACTGTTCCTATTGCCCGGGATGCTTTTTCTTCAGATGTTCAAATGGCTCGATTCCCGATCTCCTTCACCTTTTTATTAGAAGGTCACCTTAGTACCTTAGTAAGGCCTGTCCTGACTACACTGTAGCCCCATTCCCACATTTCCACTCCTTGCCTCCTTTCCTTGCTTCATTTTTCTTAATAGAAGTTAGCACTCTTCTGACAAATTGTAAAGTTTTATTTTGTCTCTCTTCTTCCCTTACAATGTAAGTTCCATGAAAGTAGGAATCTTGTCTGTTCACCGCTGTATTCCTAGTGCTTAGAAGAGTGTATAGCATATAGTAGGCAAACCAAATATTTATTACTTATAGATTTAGTAAGTATAAAATGAATATTAGGTCTTTAGATGTGACTAAGAGTTTGTGGTATTTTTGAGAAGCCACAATCCCTCATGCAAGCAATATACAGGGGGACTTCAGAAAGTTCGTAGACCTCTTACTGGTGTTACAAAGGTGACACCCTAACCAACTGAGCTAACTAGACAGCCCTGTAGACCTCTTAATGGCCAGCCACCTAAATAAATAAATAGTTTGTGGAAACATGGAATTAAAGGATAAAAATAAAAAATGTAGACTTTTTCAACATAAGCTCCATCAAGTTCAAGACACTTTTGTAAGTGGTGATATCCGCTGTTTTAGTTCATCCCTAAAGAACTGAGCATCCTGGGAATTAACCATGCCAATGCAGTTTTTTTTTATATCATTAACTGAAGAAAAGTGGGGGCTCTTTAGAGATTTTTTTTTTATGATTAGGAAACAAAAAGAAGTCAGAGGAGCCAAATCAGGACTAATTATTTCCTACTGAAACTCATATTATTAACTGAAGAAAAGTGGGGGCTCTTTAGAGATTTTTTTTTATAATTAGGAAACAAAAAGAAGTCAGAGGAGCCAAATCAGGACTAATTATTTCCTACTGAAACTCTTGCAAAATTGCCTTTTTTTTGAAGAGAGGAATGAGCAGGAGCTTTGTCGTGGTTGAGGAGAACTCTCTGGTGAAGCTTTCCCTGGCATTTTTCTGCTAAAGCTTTGACTAACTTTCTCCAGTCTCATAATAAGCAGATGTTATTGTTCTTTGTCCGTCCAGAAAGTCAAGAAGCAAAATTCCTTGAATATCCCAAAAAACTGCTGCCATGACCAGTTTGCTTTTGCTTTGACTGGACCACTTCCACCTTTTGGTAGCCATGGCTTTGATTATGTTTTGTATTCAGGATCATATTGGTAAAGCCATGTTTCATCTCCTGTTACAATTCTTCAAAGAAATGTGGATCTTGATGCCACTTGCTTAAAATTTCCGTGGAAAGCTCTGTTCTTGTCTACAGCTGATCTGGGTGCATCAGTTTTGGCACCCATTGAGCAAAAGTTTTCCCAACTGTAATTTTTCAGTCAGAATTGTGTAAGGTGAACCATTTGAGATGTCTGTGGTATTGGCTATTGTTTCTGCTGTTAATTGTTGATCCTCCTCAATTGGGGCACAAACGAGATTAATTTTTTTCCTCACAAATTTATGTGGATGATCTGCTGCTTCGGGCTTCATCTTCAACATTATCTTGTTCCTTCCTAAAATGAGTTACCCATTTGTAAACTGCTGATTTCTTTGGGGTATTTTCCCCATAAAATTTTTTGTAAAGCATTGGTGATTTCACCATTCTTCCCCTCGAGCTTCATAATAAATTTGATGTTTGTTCTTGCTTCAGTTTTAGCAGAATTTATGTTGCTCTGGGCCGGCCCGCTGGCGCACTGCTACAGTGTGCCGCTTGGGAGCGTGGCGGCGTTCCCGCCGAGGGTTCGGATCCCACATACGGACTGGCCGCTCACTGGCTGAGCGAGGTGTGGGTGCAACACCGAGGGTTGTGATCCCGTTGCCGGTCCCCGTCCGGTATGGGCGCGACACTGAGGGTTGCGATCCGTTGCCGGTCATGAAAAAAGACAAAAAGGAAAAAAAAAAAAAAGAATTTATGTTGCTCTGATAGGGGCTGTTTTCAAACTGATGTTTTATCTTTCTTGGTGCCTGAAAGTAGATCCTATTCAGACATGTTATAACAAGTTAGTATGTGTTTATTTCTTTTGGTGCAAAAAAATTTTTGTAATCCATGCATAATTTTTTCATAATATGCAGTTTCCTTGAACGTTTTGAAGATCCCTCTTGTATTTAAGGTAGAAAACTTAGAAAATGCAGGTATATCAAAAGAAAAAAATCTATAGTTCTCAGAACTGTTGTCAGTATTGCAGTATTAATTAAAAAGCTCTAAGTTTAGTTTTTAAAATTGGTAATACTTCACGTAGTTCAGAAATTAGGAAATATTAAAAAAATGCAGTTTTTCTTTCACAAAAAAACAGTCCTTCCTCTCGTTAGTTCTCATTATATAATGATTGTTAATCGATTCTTAGATCTCCTTCCAAAGTTTATTTAAGCCTAAATAAGCATATATCATTCTTCTTTCCTCATTTCTCCCTGTTTTTTATGTAACTTAGTCTATTATAGCCACTTTTGGGGGGCCCTTATTTTTGCCCCCTTCTATTTTTTTTAATAGACTTTATTTATTTATTTTTGGTATGTCTGGAAACACTTTTATTTTGCCTTCACATTTTTTTACTTTGTTTAAAATTTTTTTTGACACAATAATTGTACATACTTATGGGATACAGTGATATTTTAATACACATATACAATGTGTAAAGATCAAACCAAGGTAATTTACATATCTCTCACCTCAAATATATATTATTTCTTTGTGTTAGGAACATTCAGAATTCTCTTACAGCTACTTGGAAATACACAATAAATTGTTGTTAACTATAGTCACCCTATAGTGCTATAGAGCAGTTGCACTTATTCCTACTATCTAGCTATAATTTTTTTTTTTTTTTAAATTTTCCTTTTTTGTCTTTTTTCGTGACCGGTAACGGGATCACAACCCTCGGTGTCGCGCCTGTACCGCGACCAGCAATGGGATTGCAACCCTTGGTGTCGCGCCCGCACCGCGCTCAACTAGTGAGCAGACCGGTCTCTATATGGGATCCGAACCCTCAGCGGGAGCGCCACCACGCTCCCAAGCGCCGCACTCTACTGAGTGCACCACTGGGCCAGCCCTAGCTATAATTTTATATCCATTAATAGACTTTTTTTTGAGCTATTTTAGGTTTATAGGAAAATTGAGTGGAAAATACAGAGAGTTCCCATGTATCCCCTTACCCTGTACATACAAGTCTCCTCCACTATCAGCCTTCCTCACCAGAGAGGTACATTTGTTACTTTTTCCTTTTTTGTCTTTTTTACTGACTGGTAACGGGATCGCAACCCTCGGTGTCGCACGCAACCCTCGGTGTCGCACCCACACCTCGCTCAGCCAGTGAGTGGCCGGTCTGCATGTGGGATCTGAACCCTCGGCGGGAGCGCCGCCGCGCTTCCCAAGCGGCGCACTGTAGCAGTGTGCCACCGGGCTGGCCCAAAATTCGAAACTTTTTGAGCAGCAACATGAAAAGGAAATTCTGATTAGAGCATTTTGGATTTTGGATTTTCTCATTAGGGATGCTGAACTGGTATGTATTCTGCAAATATTCTAATATTCAAAAAAATGTAAAATCGAAAACACTTGTCCCAGCATTTCAGATAAAGGATACTCAACCTGTATATCTTTATTTGGTTGGGCAAATTCCCTATCTTGTTCTGTTTCAGATTGGCCATTTCTTCTTCCATATAGATTTTTTTAAGTCCCATAAAAAATCCACCTCTTTTCTAATTATCGATTTTGTTCATCTGTGAAATGTTAAAAATTTTTTTTCTCTTTTACATTTCCTGTAGGATGTTACTTGTTAATTCTTTTGCAGTACATATTTAACTTTGTCTGTTTTAGGTAATTATTTACAAGTCTTTTCTACCATGTTAAAAATGACTTTAAGTTGCTTGTTCATGTTTGTGATACTCACCATGCTACTTGTGTAATACAGTTGAATAGTGAATGAATATTGACAGTGAAATCCTATTGGCTCAGTGCTCTTAAAACCCACAGGCCTCTCTGACTTGGACTTTACAGATAGGGTAGAATTAGGGCTCATATTTCTAATTTAAAAATTAAAATTCTAGCATTAAAATTAAATTTGTAGCATGACAATTGAATTTAAAGTGTAACTGTGTTACTAATACTGAGAGTATTATACTAATACTCTTTCTCTGTACTTTTTTCTTTTAGTGAGTACTTTTCTGTGTATGTATAGTAAATAGCTAGTTTATAAAGTCCTAAGTCTCCTTTACTGTATTTAAGGAACACTTATTTAAGTACATGTTTGTACTGAGAAGTTCACAAAATTGATGTTTTCTTATCCTGTATGATAGGAAGCAGTAGAAAAATATGAAGAAGTGCTACATAACTTGGAATTTGCCAAGGAGATTTAAGTACATGTTTGTACTGAGAAGTTCACAAAATTGATGTTTTCTTATCCTATATGATAGGAAGCAGTAGAAAAATATGAAGAAGTGCTACATAACTTGGAATTTGCCAAGGAGCTGCAGAAAACCTTTTCTGGATTGAGCCAAGATGTGAGTATGTTTTCTTCAGTTTTCCTGAAACCAAGTTAACCAATAATCTTGAAGAAAATGTCAATGGCTAATAGTGGTGTCTGGTTACCATCTAATTTCTGTGATATTTTATTGGGGATGGGAGATTGAGGATAGCTACTAAAGAACTAGTTATTTTAGGTTCTGGAGTCTCCAGGGAACACAAATGGTATCTGAATATGAGACATTGTGAATAAAGTATTAGTTATCTAATGTGTGTTATTTCAGTATGGAATTATAGAAGTCATTGGGAAGAGGGATAAAAACTATTTTGACAGATGTATTTATTAAAGATATTTTAGAAAATAGGCATATAAATTTATATAATAGGCTTGTAAATTTAGCATTATTTAACATATGAGGAAACATAGAATTGCTATTCTTATTGAAAGCATGAAAATTATTACCAGTAAAATATATAATTCATGTTAAACAGAGTTAAGTCTGGCCATGTTATGTTCTCTATGTTGAACCTTTTATTCCTGACAAATTTAATCAGTAATTAATGTGAAGTCTTAAGAATTCCTTAATGAAGTATTCTTCATTGTTTCAGGATCTTAGCACTAGAAGGTCCTCTAAAGGTCATGTTTCAACAATTGAAGAAATTTTTTTTTTAATAGTTAAGTATCTTCACTAAGTTTTTCAAGAACATTCTCAAGAGCAACTTTTTACATATCAATCCATTTACATAGCAGAGAGCCACCTATTACCAAAATACTTAATTTCCTTTTCAGCAAATATTTTCATACAGCAGCATTTACTGAGTACAGATGGGGTACTTTACAAATGTTAGGTATTTAAAAAATTTATTTATTTTCCAGGATAATTAGTATATTCAAAATTATACAATGTAATCATTTTTTGTGGCCCTTTACAAATTTCTTGCTAACCCCCTTCTCCCTTCCGCTTTCCACCTCTAGTAGCCTCAGTTCTGTTCTCTCCTTTTGAAAGTTCAGTGACTTATTGTGATTGTGGTATCTTTCTTTTTTCTTCATTTGTTTATTTATTATTTTTTAATTTACCATTATACAATGTAGTTGATTTTTGTGGCCCTTTACCAATTCCTCCCTTTCCCAGCCCCATCAACATCATATTTGTTCTCTTAACAAGTTTAAGGAATTATTGTGATTGTTGTGTTTTTTCTTTTCCTATTTATTTGTTTATTTGTTTATTTTTATTAGCTCCCACATTTAAGTATATATGGTATTTCCCTTTCTGTGCCTGGCTTATTTCACTTAACATAATTTTCTCTAAGTTCATCCATGTTGCTGCAAATGGTAGTATTTCATTCTTTTTTATAGCAGAGTAGTATTTCATTGTGTAGATTTACCATATTTTCCTTATCCACTTGTCCAAAGATGGGCATTTAGGCTGGTTCCACCTCTTGGCTATCGTTAAAAGAGCTGCAATAAACATGGGAGTACAGGTTTCCCTTCGACATGATGATTTCCATTCCTTTGGGTATATACCCAGCAGTGGGATAGCTGGGTCATATGGCAGTTCTATCTGTAGTTGTTTGAGGAACCTCCATACCATTTTCCATAATGGCTGCACTATTTTACAGTCCCACCAATAGTGTAGGAGGGTTCCCTTTTTCCACATCCTCACCAGCATTTGTTATTCTCAGTCTTTTGGATATTAACCAGCCTAACTGGAGTGAGATGATATCTCAGTGTGGTTTTTGATTTGCATTTCCCAGATGCTGAGTGATGTTGAGCATTTTTTCATGTGTCTGTTGGCCATTTGTATGTCTTCCTTTGAGAAATGCCTGTTCAGCTCCTTTGCCCATTTTTTAATTGGGTTACTTGTTTTTCTGCTGTTAAGTTGTTTGAATTTCTCATATATTCTGGATATTAATCCTTTGGATGCATATTTTGCAAGTATTTTCTCCCATTCTGTTGGATGTCTTTTTGCTCTGTTAATTGTTTCTTTTGCTGTGCAGATGCTTTTTAGTTGGATATTATCCCATTTGTTTATTTTTCCTTTGGTTGCCTATGCTTTTGGGATTGTATTCATAAAGTCTGTGTGCAGTCTTACTTCCTGAAGTATTTTCCCTATGTTTTCTTTTAGGAGTTTTATAGTTTCAGGACATATATTTAATTCTTTAACCAATTTTGAGTTGATTTTGGTATATGGTGAGAGGCACAGGTCTAGTTTCATTCTTCTGCATGTGGATGTCTAATTTTCCCAGCACCATTTGTGGAAGAGGCAGTCTCTTCCCCAGTGTGTGTTCTTGGGGCCTTTGTCAAAGATCAGATGGCTATAGGTATATGGGATGATTTCTGGTTCTCTATTCTCTTCCATTGGTCTGTATGTCTGTTTTTATGTTTTTGCCATGCTGTTTTGGTTACTATAGCTTTGTAGTATAGTTTGAAGTCAGGTAGTTTTTTTTTTTTTTTTCCTCTCTTCTCAGGATTGCTTTGGCTATTTGGGGTCTTTTTTTCCATATGAATGTTAGGATTGTTTTTTTCCAATTCTGTGAAGAATGTCATTAATATTTTGAGTGGGATTGTGTTGAATCTGTAGATCATTTTGGGTAATGTGGACATTTTCATAAATGTTAATTCTTCCAGTACAAGAGCACGGAATATATTTCCATCTTCGTGTGTCTTTAATTTTTCTCAACAGTGATTTGTTGTTCTTGTTGTAGAGATTTTTCACGTCCTTGGTTAATTTTATTCCTAGGTATTTAATTTTTTTGGTGACTATTGTAAATGGGCTAGCTTTCTTGATTTCTTCTTCTGCTAGTTCATTGTTTGAGTATAAAAATGCTACTGATTTTTGCATGTTGATTTTGTATGCTGCACCTTTGCTGATATCATTTATCAACTTTAAGAGTTTTTTTGTAGAGTCTTTAGGTTGTTCTATATATATATATATAGGATCATGTCATCTGCAAACAGGGACAGTTTGACATCATCTTTCCAATCTGGAGGCGTTTATTACTTTCTCTTCCCTGATTGCTCTGGCTAATACTTCCAATGCTATGTTGAATAGGAGTGGAAAAATTCATGCCTGGGGTGGGGAACATGCCTCATAAGATAGTCTCTTCTATTTTTTGGATATTTTCTTTTCTTTACCGTGAACTAAATTTCTCTTCTCCATTCCTTTGGCATAAAAAAAAAATTCTCTAGGCTAAAAACATTTACCATTGTATTAGGGTTTTCCAGAGAGACAGAATCAACAGGATATGTTATAAATATATGAGAGGAGATTTATTAGGCAAATTAGCTTGTGCGATTATGAAGAGAAGTTCCACGATAGGCCATCTGCAAACTGGTTGCCAGTAGCATGGCTCAGTCCAATCTGAAGGCTTCAGAACCAGGGAAGCTGATGGTGTTCTTGGTGTAAGTGCTGGAACCAAAAAGCTGAAGAGTCACACTCTGATGTCCACAGACAGGAGAGAAGAGTGTATCCCAGCTCCAGTGAATAGAAGGAGATTGCCTTTTTTCTCCATTTTTTTTGTTTTCTCCAGGCCCTTAGCAGATTGGATGGTTCCCACATATTGAGTGTGGATCTTTCCCACCCAGCCCACTCAGTCTCTCATGCTAGTCTCTCTGGAAAAATCCTTGTGGACACACCTAAAAAGATAGCTTTCTCAGCCTTCCTTAATTTAATCAAATTGACACCTAGAATTAACCTTCACAGCCATCTTAAAAAAACTTATTATCTTTTTAATTGACACATAATAATTGTACATATTTGTGGAATACATGTGATATTTTGATACATGTATACATTGTATAATGTTCAAATCCAGGTAATTTGCACATTCATCACCTCAAACATTTTTCATTTTTTCATATTGGAAACATTCAAAATCCTCTCTTTTAGCTGTTTTAAGATATACAAAAAACTGTTGTTACTTTGTGTTGTCACCCTACTGTGCCATAGAACACTAGAACTTATTCCTCCTATCTAGCTGTAATTTTGTATCTGTTAACCAACCTCTCCCTGTCTGCACCTCTCTGCTACCCTTCTCAGCCTCTAGTATCCACTATTCTACTCTCTACTTCAATGACATCAACTTTTTTAGCTTCCACATATGAGTGAACATGTGGTATTTGGCTGTCTGTGCCTGGCTTATTTTGCTTAACATAATGTCTTCCAGGCTCATTTGTGTTGCCATGTATGGCAGGATTATTCTTTTTTATGGCTGCATGGTATTTTATTGTGTCTCTATGCCACATTTTCTTTATCCATTCATCTGTGATGGACACTTAGGTTGATTCCAATCTTGTTGTGAATAGTGCTGCAGTAAACACAGGAGTGCAAATATATCCCCAGCATACTGGATTCCTTTCCTTAGGAGTATTGCTGGATTATGTGTTACCTCCACACTTAGTTTTTGTGAGGAAACTCCATACTGTTTTCCATAATACCTGTACTAATTTACATTCTCATCAACAGTGTATAAGAGTTCCCCTTTCTCTGCATACTTGGCAGCATTTGTTTTTTGTCTTTTTGATAATACTGATTCTGACTGGGGTGTGATAATTGTAGTTTTGTGGTTTTGATTTGCATTTCCCTGATGATTAGTGATGTTGAACATTTTCTTATATACTTGGCCATCTGCATGTTTTCTTTTGAGAAATGTCTATTCAAGTCATTTGTCCATGTTTAAATCAGTTTTTTTTTCCTGTTGTTTGAGTTCCTTATATATTATGGGTATTAATCCCTTGTTTGATTAATAGTTGCAAATATTTTCTCCCATTCTGCAGGTTATCTCTTCACCCTGTTGATTGTTTCATTTGCTGTGTGGAAGCTTTTTAGTTTGCTGTTATCCCGTTTGTCTATTTTTCCTTTTGTTGCCCATGCTTTAGAGGTCTTATCCATAAAACTTTTGCCTAGATAAATGTCCTGAAGTATTTCCCCTATGTTTTACTCTAGTTGTTTCATGGTTTGGGTCTGATATTTAAGTCTTTAATTCATTTTGGGTTGGTTTTTGTATATGGGGAGAGGTAGGAGTCTAGTTTCATTCTTTTGCATGTTGATATCCAGTTTTTCCAGCACCATTTATTGAAGAAACTCTCCTTTTTCCAGTGTATGTTCTTGGTGTCTTTCTGAAAAATTCATTGGCTGTAACAAAGTGGATTTGTTTCTGAGTTCTTTATTCTGTTCCATTGGATCAAGTGTCTTTATGCCAGTACCATGCAGTTTTGCTTACTATAACTTTGTAGTATATTTTGAAGTCAGGAAGTGTGATGCCTCTGGCTTTGTTCTTTTTGCTCAGGATTGCTTTGGCTGTTCAGGGTTTTTCATGGTTCAGTATGAATTTTAGAATTGTGTTTCTCTTTCTGTGAAGAATGTCATTGATATTTTGACAGGGATTGCATTGTATCTGTAGATCACTTTGAGAAGTATGGTCATTTTAACAGTATTAATTCTTTCAATCCATGAACATGGGGTGTCTTTTTAGTTTTCTTTTTGTGTGCTTCAATTTCTTTTGTCAGTGTTTTGTAGTTTTCCTTGCAGAGATCTTTCACCTCCTTGGTTAAATTTATTCCTAGGTGGTTTATTTATTTATTTATTTATTTTGTAGTTATTGTAAATGGGATTGGTTTCTTGATTTCGTTTTTAGCTAGTTCATTGTTGGTGTATAGAAATACTACTGGTTTTTGCATGTTGAATTTTGTATTTTGCAACTTTACTGAACTTATTTGTAAGAGTTTTTTGGTGGAGTCTAGGTTTTTCTGTATATGAGATCATGTTGTCTGCAAATAGGTACAGTTTGACTTTGTCTTTTCCAATTTGGATGCCCTTTATTCCTTTCTCTTGCCTAATTGCTCTGACTAAGACCTCCAGTATTATGGTCAATGAGAGTGGTGAGAATGGGCATCCATTTCTTGTTCTAATTCACAGTGTCCAGTATGATGTTAGCTGTGGGTTTGTCATCCATGGCTTTTATTGTGTTGAGGAATGTTCCTTCTATACCTAATTTGTTGAGTTTTTGTCATGAAGGGATGTTGAATTTTATCAAATGCTTTTTATATGTCTCTTTAGATGATTACATGATTTTTGTCCTTTATTCTGTTAATGTGATGTATCACATTTATTGACTTGTGTGTGTTGAACCATCCTTGCATCTCTGGGATAAATACCATTTGATCATGGTGTATAATCTTTTTGATGTCCTGTTGGATTGGTTTGCTAGTATTTTGTTGAGAATTTTTGCATCTTTTTCACCAGGGATATTGGCCTGCAGTTTTCTTTTTTTGTTGTGTCTTTGTCTGATTTTGGTATCAGGGTAGTGCTGGCTTTGTAAAATGAGTTTAGAAGAATTCCCTTGTCTTTAATTTTCTGAAATAGTTTGAACAGAATTGGTATTAGTTCTTCTTTAAAATTTTGGTAGAATTCAGCAGTGAAGCTATCCAGTCCCAGGCAACATCTATCCTCTTAATCCTTGCAATACCATTCTCAGTTGTTCTCTTCTGGATGTCTGATTTAATTATCAATTAACTCTTAAAAATAGCACATAGATTTATTTATTTATTTATTTTGGTTTTGTTTTTGTGGCAGGCTGGTTCAGGGATCAAACCCTGGACTTTGGTGTTATCAGCACCATGCTCTAACCAACTCAGCTAACTGGCCAGTCCAGTATATAGATTTAAAATAGCCTAGTACAGAGTCATTATCTCATGTTTTTAGGATATTTTTGTTAATGCAGGTCCAAGATGATATTAGCTCTTTTTCTCAACCATAGCATATTTCAACTCATTTTAACTTTTATTGTGAACCATAGCAAATTTTTACTTAATCATTTATTGGTAATTTTAATACTATCTATTAATTCCAGTTATTAATTATTTCTAGGCTATTTTAGATACAACATATTTAAGTCAATTTTTTTTCTTGTAGGATGGATTTTTTTCCTCCTCAAATCTGTTCAATTTGATTTTGGTCCATTTTACTATGAAAAGATTTTTCATTTCTTCTTTTCTGATTGGATGGCTAGAAGTATACTTCTATAATACTTAAAATTTTGCATCTTTTCTTTTCTTAAGGTTACCGAATCAAATTTTAGTTTTCTACTCTGGTATATATTTTTCTAATATATGTTGTTCTTTTCTTCTTTTTAGATTAAACATAATTTTTAAATACCTACCATGTGCCAGGTACCTATGTAATTCTACTTGATTTTTACAACAATTTAGAAAGTAGATATAAATAGCCCCATTTTATAGGTAAGGAATCTGTGGCTCAGAACAAAAGGCACTTTTCAAAGTCATCTGGCCAGTAAGTGGTAGAGTCAGGATATGACCGTAGGTACTGTTTGCCTGTAAAAACTGTGTTCTTTTCTCTGTACCACAGAAATAGTATTTTCTGCTGTAATTTAGAGTTAGCTCCCTGCTCACCAAATTTTACTGATATCCATGAGATTATTTTTACTTGCCTGTACTTGAGATTTACTTTTGCTTTAGGTAAAGTGATAAAGTACTTTGGATCTTGCCTTAATCAATCAAGACCCTAAAGGTGCTTGTCAGTACTGTCCAGTATTTTCCTGGCAATTTTGGGCTCCTCTGTTACTGAAGTTTTTCTTTTGTCCACCTCTTTTATGATAGCCAGTTTTGCATTTTGTGGAAAATTTTCTTCTTTCCCTTCAAATTAAAGCTAGATGCCTTTCCGTTCAGCCTGACCACATTCTTCTTTGTCTTCATGAGTTGGGCTCTGTTCCTTGGTAGCGATTCGTCATTCTAAGTCATGGTTCAGAAAATAAATTCTGTCATTCAATACTATTGACTGAGAGCAGTTTACCTCAATGCTCTCCTTTTCAAACTGGTCTTCAGCTGGGTGAAGAGAAGAAAAATGTAACCTGTCTTCTTAGTTTCCACGTTAAGTAAGGAGAAATAGGCTGTTCGTGGCTTTTCATGACATCTGATCATGATCTGGTAGACTTTCTTGATACTCGATTTATTTAACATACTATTGACTGAGAGCAGTTTACCTCAATGCTCTCCTTTTCAAACTGGTCTTCAGATGGGTGAAGAGAAGAAAAATGTAACCTGTCTTCTTAGTTTCCACGTTAAGTAAGGAGAAATAGGCTGTTTGTGGCTTTTCATGACATCTGATCATGATCTGGTAGACTTTCTTGATACTCGATTTATTTAACAAAAATTTCAGGTCCTGTCGTGTCAAGCTCTGTGCTGGGCACTAGTGATATATGGTTGAATAACACATATAGTCTCTGTTATCATGGATGCAGATAAATAAAAGATAATCATTTAATGTGATAAATACTTTGATAGGGAAGTTCAGAGAGGCATGAGCCCATAAGAACATCTTATCCAACCTTGGCTAAAGAGATTTGAGGTAATCATGTGATATAGTCCTGAATATACCCTAAAAATATATCCCTTTTCACATACCATGGTGAAACTGTGTTCAAGAGAGTTCTGTTAGAGCTAGAAGTGCCCCCTTCATCCTCTTTCCTCCTCTGAAGCAGAAACAGAATCCTGTGGTTTTGCTCCTATTGGTGCAGTACATATTGAGGTCTTAGAAAAAGCCTTACTGAGCTTTACCATCCTAAGAAAATATGCTTGTCCACGTATCCCTCAACCAGTCTGTTTCTCATTTTCAAAATTTTATCTTCAGCTGTTTTCTCCTGTGTCTGGTAGTAGGACAAATCAAATTTATTATGTTGCTTCCATAACCTCTAGAAAGGGATTAATTATGCCACAGCCAATCTTTCTCCTGGGGTTTTCCCCTTAATCTTAACCTGTTATAGAGTTTAAAATATTGATGTATAGCAAAGTACTTTGATATGTAGGAAAAATATTTGTTTTTTTTTTTTTTTTTAATTTTAATCTTCACACCTTGGGAAATATGCAATATGGATGGAAACATCACAGTCAGAAAAATTATGGGGGAAGACCTTTTAGGTTCCTTAGTGGAAACTGATGCTACTTTTTGGTTAAATGGCAAGCAACTTCTGGGACTTATGTATTGTGTCAGACTTTAAGGTATTATAGTTCTGAACTTTAGAGTAGATCCAGGGCTACTCAATCTATATACACGAATTATTTAAGGGAAAACTTAAGTTTCATTAATTTTCTGTATCCCTTTTGTCAGTTTAATAAAATACTGGCAGATATAGCTTCATCCATACTGACAGGGGCAGACTGTTTTTAAAATGTCTCTAATTTTACTTAAAAACAAACAAAAAACATCCAAATTTGGTGCTGCTTTTTTTAAAATTGGCCATACATTTGTAAGACATTTTATGTCTATTAGTTTTTCACTTTGTTATGCTTAAGACAGTCATCTTTGGTTGGTTGGAAACTGACCATTTTAGTTTAAATATTTTTCCCCTGAAACATGAGATTTAAAAAACCCCAAAACTCGGCCGGCCCGGTGGCGCACTGCTACAGTGCGCCGCTTGGGAAGCGCGGCGGCGCTCCCGCCGAGGTTTCGGATCCCACATACAGACCGGCCGCTCACTGGCTGAGCGAGGAGCGGGGGCAACACCGAGGGTTGCGATCCCGTTGCCGGTCCCAGTCCGGTACGGGCGCGACACTGAGGGTTGCGATCCATTGCCGGTCACGAAAAAAGACAAAAAGACAAAAAAAAAAAACAACCCAAAACTCCAAAATAAAGCATTAACATAATAACATATTTGGCCTAAAAAGACTTCATATACATAAATGTGGAAAAGTAAAATCTTGAGATTAATATGGACATTAGTGATTGGTGCAAGTTTGGAGTCAGATATTTGGGCTCCCTTGGTGCTTGTTACCTGAGACAAACCATTTTATTACCTCTAGCTGACAAAGGAGACAGGGTTAAACAAACTGGTCACTTAGACAGTCATGATATTTATCATCTGAGTTCAGCTATTTGGGATAAGATTTTGTAGCCTATGAATTGCTAATATGGAGTGGTGGAGAGTTGTCAACCTTAATTAGCATTTGTTTTAACAGCTACTGAAAGCGCAGAAGAAGGCCCAGAGAAGGGAGCATATGGTAAAACTTGAGGCTGAGAAGAAAAAGCTTCGTACTATACTTCAAGTTCAGTATGTATTACAGAACTTGACACAGGAACACGTACAAAAAGACTTCAAAGGGGGCTTGAATGGTGCGGTGTATTTGCCTTCAAAAGAACTTGACTACCTCATTAAATTTTCAAAACTGACCTGCCCTGAAAGAAATGAAAGTCTGAGGTAAGCTAATGAAAAGATTTTCCTGAAATAGAACACATGACACTTTAGCTTTTTAGTTATATATATCTATTATATAGAAATAAAAAAAATTAATTTGATTTAATATGGGAAACCTTGGCTGGTCCCGACTCTGACAGGGTTGGTAGATTGTCTAAAATGAAAGTGAATTTGAACGGTCTTATTAACATGCTCCTTTCTTGTGACACCGATTTTAAAAATAATGTCTGATCATCAGGTTTAACTCTATGCAAGTATTAACCATACTACTAATTGTATATATTCCTAAAACTTTTTTTGTAATTTTCCCAGCATTTTTGCCTTCTTACTTCTGCTGTACTTAAGAAGTGGTAAATAAGATTTAACTTTGCCAGTATCATTAAGTTTTCAAAGTGAGGAGCATTATTTGTTGTTTGTATTATGCTGTGAATAAATACTGAGAAATAGATTTGATAATTTAAAATATAAGACTAGCAAATTGGGGCTACACAATTTTTTCCCCTACAGTTATTCATTTATTGTTTTTGTTTTGATGGAGTAAATCAGCTAAGGAACAGATTTCTATGCTTTTGCTTTGTTAGATACAGGTTGTTCTGACTTCGTGTCTGTTAGCATGCTAAAGTAGCATCAGATTTCAACTGTTTTTAGAAATCAGCCTTTTGTTAGGAAAAAACTTAATAAAACTCTTAATTACCTATACAAAGGTGCTTCAAAAATTCATGGAAAGATTTGTATTCTCTTTTAATTCGATTTTTCCATGAATTTTTTGAAATATCCTGTATACTGCCATATATCTTTTTATTCCTATGTTGATATTCAACTCCATCATTATTATCTATCTGGTTGCTTCCTTCTGCTTCACTTTGGTGGTGTCAGGGAGTATAGTATAATATGTGAAATGTAAGCAAAACATAATTTGCAAAATAGACTTCTCTCTTTAAAGTCAAATGCTACTCTTAAAATTTTCATTCCACTTCTTTTTCATCTGGACATATATAGTACCCCCACACCCCCTTATCTGCAGGGAATACATTACAAGACCCCCAGTGGATGCCTGAAACCTTAGATAGTACCCAAACCCTATGTATATACTGTTTTTTCCTATACAAACATACCTATGATAAAGATTAATTTATAAATTAGGGACAGTAAAAGATTAACAACAACAATAAAAAAATAGAACAATTATAACAGTATACTGTAGTAAAAGTTATATGAATGTGGTCTCTTTCTCTCAAAATACTATTATATTTTTGGACCGAAGTTGACCACAGGAAACTGAACCTGAAGAAAGTGAAACTGCAGATAAGGGGGGCACTGCTGTACTTGATTACTAATGATACTGCACTGGCAGCTTTAAACTCATCTTTGGTGTATTCCTTAATAGTTGTATTTGGTAAAACTTTAGGTGTTTTAAGGAAAAATTATTACATTTGAAATCCATAAACGGGCATTTAGTTACCTTGAAAAATTTTAATTTTTTATTTCCAAAGAGTAAAAAGACAAAATTAACATTTGAATGTCTTGACTATTAATGGATTATATTGCATAAATTGTACTGCTCCACATGTATATATATGTACTTCTAAAGCCACTTTGTTCTGCTGCTGCTTTTCCTTGTCAGTGTTGAAGACCAGATGGAGCAATCATCCTTGTACTTTTGGGACCTTTTGGAAGGTAGTGAGAAAGCAGTAGTAGGAACGACATGTGAGTCTTCTCTACTCTGGACTTATGCAGTAAATACTAAACTTTATGTCTGGAAGTTTAGTATGATATTGAGGGTCTAAACTGTGTCAGTCCATCAGAACTTACATGTCTGACAATACTATATTCATTGAGAGAATGAGTCCTCTTTTTTAGTTCTGTTAAAAGCAGCTGTTGTATAGTCATAGTCACTAAAACAGAACTTAGGGAGGGTTCTGAAGTGACAAGTCAGATATGATTTGAGAACAGAGAACTAAAAACTAGGAGTGCTGGCTTCAAAACTAGCTTGATCATTTTGGAGTTCTCTATTCAGATGGTAGCACCTGTGCTATTTAAGGATCTTAAATCCACACATTAGGCTTATCAGCCTAAGAAAATATGAATGAGTTGGCTACATAGTCTATTGGAATGATCTGGAGAGAGAGAGAGAGTCCTTTTGGCTTCCTAAATAGCCTTTGGCCAAATGACCAAGTACAAATGGCTGGACTTTGTGTACTAGCTTAGGATAATGAAAACTCACTACTAGCTAGTAAACACTTTTGTTTCTAGTGATTGCTTCCTTTGTAAAAAATGTCCATGTATATATAACTATCTCAAAATTTCTAAGTTTGTTTAAATCACAATTAAATTTATTTCTTGCTTAGGATGCTAAATGATACTAAAATTGTTTGGAAAATATTTTGGCAGTTTCTTATAAAGTTAAGCATACACTTACTATATGATGAAGCATTTACACTTCTAGTACCCAAAAGAAATAAAACATGTGTTTATATAAATACTTATACATGAATGTTCATACCAGCCTTATTCATAATAGCCCCAAACTGGACACAGCCCAGATGCACATCAACTGATAAATCAATAAACAAAATATGGTATATCCATGCAGTGGAATTTACTCAACAATAAAGAAAGCATTGAACTATTGATACATACAACAACGTAGATGAATCTCAAAACAATTATGCTGAACGAAAGAAGCCAGACAAGAAAATGAGTACATATTGTATGATTTTATTTATATGAAATTCTAGAAGAGACGTAAGTAGAATGGTAGTAGGTTACTGGTTGCCAGCAGTCCAGAGGATCAGAGGAGGGGATTGATTGCAGAAGGGTCATGAAGGAACTTTTTAGGTTGATAAAAATGCTCTATGTTATGGTGCTGGTGGTGGTAACACAACTATAAATCTGTCAAAACTGTATACTTAAAACAGGCAAATCTTGTTATTTATAAATTATACCTGTAAGCTGATTAAAAAAAATTTTGGCTGGCCAGTTAGCTCAGTTGGTTAGAGCTTGGTGTTGTAAAACCAAGGTCATGGGTTCAGATACCAGCACGGGTCAGCCAACCAAAAAAACCTCCAAAAAACAAACAAACAAACAAACAAAAAACAAAAGAAAATCTATGTCATAGTACTCCTACAAAAGGAAGAATAGACCCAAATCAAGTATGGGAACTCTCCTTAGTTTGGGAATTATGTCTTTAGTGGATATTTAAAATGAAATGACTTTAGACCTATTTGTAGTGTAGCAGCTTTAAAATCATTTAAAGATTTTTCTTGGTCATCAAATGGTCAGGTACTAGGAGTGACATATAGCATACTCAAGAGTAAAATCTTAATCATAGAGTTTTGTAGTTTAAAAATACTTTAGAGATTGTCCAAAATAGAGTTTTCTAATGTTTATGTTCAGGGAACTGTCTTATGTTTCTCTAAAGCCTTAATTACTTGGAAAAGATGGTGTAGTTGCTAGTTGTGATGTCTTGGGGGCAGATGGGAAAAATGACTTGTCTTTCAGCTCAGGGAATAGATGTGTGCTTTTGTGAACATCTTAGAGTCTTTGATTAGTGTCTTTGATTTTTAGTCATTTTTCAAATGGTGGAAATGGAGGCCCAGAGAAACTTAAGTGACTTGCTAAACTTTGAGATTCTGATTATTAAAATTTATATTGATTCAGCATAAAATAAAGATGGACTGCATATTTACTTTTCATGGTACTGACCAGTTCTGAATCCCCTCTGTGTAAACTATTGTAATGACATACTTTAACTAGGATAAAATTAGGATTTCTATTCCCAATAATTTTTAATGAACTATTGGGTTATGAGATAACTAAGTCTTAATTATTCTTTCTTAGACAAACACATGAAAGATCTACTGTCTAAATTACTGAATTCAGGCTATTTTGAAAGTATTCCAGTTCCCAAAAATGCTAAGGAAAAAGAAGTATCATTGGAGGAGGAAATGCTAATACAATCAGAGAAGAAAAAACAATTATTGAAGACCGAATCTGTTAAAGAGTCAGGTTGGTGGTGATCTCTGAAATTTTTTATAGTATTTGCATTTTTTAACAACGCAAATGGGTCAAATCATTGTGTAGTGATCGCCTTATTTTGATGTGTTAGATTCTACATACATGGAAATCTTTACTTTCTGCAGGATAAGCCTAGATTTAGCAAATGTCTCTAGGCTTTATAGCCATGATTTAAGAGTGAACCTTAATAGAAATAACAGTTTATACTTTAGGTTATACTTTGTGCCAAGAGAGTACATTAGTTAAAATGAGGCATTTGTGGAATGAACCTTTCTGTTAAACTACTAGTAGGATAATTCCATTTAAAATTGTTGTTTAAAATGAAAGTTGTGATAGAATCAAATACTATACTAGAATGAGAGTGTAAATAACCTAATATTAAAGTATTGATTCAGGGTTGGCTGGTTAGCTCAGTTGGTTAGAGCATGGTGTTATAACACCAAGGTCAAAGGTTTGGATCCCCATACTGGCCAACCAAGGACTGCCCCCCCCAAACAACAACAACAACAACAAAAAAAACCTCACACAAATAAAATAAAGTTGTGATTCAGGAAAAAAGTTGCCAAAATCAGTAAAAGATATATACTTTTCAAATTACCATTTTCTTAGAAGAAATATTTTGAGCAAATGACACTTTTTCTTTGATTTCTTCAAGTTGGATTTATTAAGGAAATATGTCTTCTAAGGAGGTTGTTCAGGCTGGTAGCCACTAGCAAGATTCAAGTCATTTCCCATGTTTACTTCCAATTAATTCTTTTTGTTTTTTTTGTCCTTTTTGAGACCGGCCGCACCGCGCTCAGCCAGTGAGCACACCGGCGGTCATCCCTATATAGGATCCGCCGCTGTGCTCCCAGCACCGCACTCTCCCGAGTGCTCCACGGGCTCGGCCCCCAATTAATTCTTAATACTAAGTCTGGTGCTTTAGTATCTTTACTCTCTTACCTCCCTACTGATGTTCAACTGGCGTGTGAGAAGTCTTTAAGGGCTCTCTTTAAAGCTGAGATGACTAATTTTTACCCCTTGGGACCTGAGCTAAAATTCCAACTGGAAAAAAACTGTGCTTTTGTGGGGTAAGAGAGAGATAGTCTTATTTTCAGTTAGAAATCAGTTTTTAACTGAAACTTGACTTTAGTAAGGTTTCTTATGTAAGGAGGGCCACTAGCTTCAACTAGCCTCAGACCCCAAGCTTTTGACCAACAAGCAGTAGTTAGAATTACTCCTGCCCTTAGTAAGCTTAATTGTTCTATCCTTTTTCTTCCGAGTCTTCTGAAATACTCCTATGCTGCTGGAATGAATTATAGTTGTAATCAGTTTAAAAAACATATAATTACCTAATATTAATATTCCTTTTATCTTCCCAGAGGCTCTTCTGGAACTTGCACAGCCAGAGATACAGCCGCAAGAGGTAAGATACTGAAAGGTAATTCGCTGATGTTGGTTTTTCAGATTTTTGTTTAGTATTGTAGTTAGGAGATGAGGCTCAGGAGCCAGAATGGCTGAGCTTGAATCCTGGCTCTGCAGCTTACTAGCTTAGTGACTTTGGGCAAGATATCTAGCTCAGCCTTGTCTCTTGTCCTCATATGTAAAGTGGGAATAATGATAATGCCTACCTGATGAAGTTATTGTGTCATGTGATTGAAGAAGTTAACCTAAATTCTAAATTACTCAGAATTTGGCCTGGAACACAACTGCTCAAGTGTTAGCTGTTGTTATTTTTGACTCTTGTGTTAGAATTTAAAAGATGTACAGGATTTTGCTTTAAAATTCACTCAAATTGGTAGCAAAAGGAGGGTGTTTGTTCTTTTTCTGAAGTGACATCAAAATTCATGGAAGCTAAAAAGAATGCAAGAAGCAAAAACACAGTATATTTGATATACAAGGGTACTTCAAAAATTCATGAAAAGATTTTTATTATCTTTCAATTCTATTTTTCCACGCACTTTTTGAAGTAACCTTATTAAGAGACATAAAGAAAAGGCTGGTAATTCAGGAACCATAAAGCCTAAGATTAAATAGTATAACTTTGTGTAATTGAACTCTGCCTTAACTTTTAAGGGAGTAAAGTGGGTAGAAGGGTCCTAAAGTGGGCAAAGGCCTTGGTAAAAGAGCCTGTATCAAGCAAACGTGGCACCACAATGTGCAATTCTTGCCAGTCTTAAGTTTAGTCAAGTAGAAATTGCTACTTTTGAAGAATCAAAGTTTGTATTTCTGTTAATTGAAAGAAAAGGGTTGGACAAAGAAGTAGGACAGTCTTTTCAAGTAGGATAAGGACAGAAGTTTCTTGTTAGCACAATGGCTCAGATCAATGGACATAGGAATATTAATAGAGTTGAATGTTCCCTTTAAGGTCTTCTGAGAATTTTGTGATTTATGCACATTATTTCTCTGGTCTAGTTTCTTAACAGACGTTATATGACAGAAGTAGATTATTCAAGCAAACAAGACGAAGAGCAATCTTGGGGAGTAGATTATGCTAAAAAACCAAATCTCCCCAAATGTTGGGATATGCTTACTGAACCAGATGGTCAGGAGAAGAAACAGGAATCCTTCAAGTCCTGGGAGTCTCCTGTTAAACACCAGGAGGTATCAAAGCCTGCAGTTTCCTTAGAACAGAGGAAACAAATTCCAAAACTCAGGTCTACTCTGCCAGAAGAGCAGAAGAAGCAGGAGGTCTCCAAACTCAAGCTAACTCCTAGCCAGTGGAAGCAAGAAACTCCTAAATCTAAAGCAGGATACATTCAAGAGGAACAGAAAAAACAGGAAACACCAAAGCCTTGGCCAGTTCAGCTGCAGAAAGAACAGGATCCAAAGAAGCAAACTCCAAAGTCTTGGACACCTTCTATGCAGAGTGAACAGAATATCACCAAGTCATGGAACAGTCCCATGTGTGAAGAACAGGACTCAGAACAGCCAGAGACTCCAAAATCCTGGGAAAACAATGTTGAGAGTAAAAAACACTGTTTAACACCACAATCACAGATGTCTACAAAGTCCTGGGGAGGTGCTACAACAAGCCTCATACCAAATGACCAGCTCCTGCCCAGGAAGTTTAATACGGAACCCAAAGATGTGAGTTTATTTGTATCAGTCTGCTTCTGTCAATATAGTTATAAATAAGGAGTCATAATAATGATGACTTTTTAATTCTCTTTAAAATGACAACAACAACAAAACCCATGTTAAATTAACACATTTCATTCAACTCTTTAATGTGTAGATTTATTGTTTGCCCTAGGAAATTGGAAGTTAACCTAGTCTATTGTTGAGTCTAACCTGAGGTGAAATGTGCACAATTATAAAATGTTAAGTTTTAATGCTAAAATTTTAATAACATAATGACATCAAAATGATGGATGGTTCAGACAAGGTCGTAATGTGAACAAGTGAATAATGTAAATGCTTGTCACAGGATGGGTGATGTGTTACATTTCACTTGGTGTCTTCTGCCTGTCACATGATTGACTTTTTTGGACAGAATTTATATTTTTTTATATTCTCTTGCTTCTTTTTGACTCATGTGTAGTCACTCAGATTAGTCTGTACTCTTATGAAGAAGGTACAGGGTGATTGCAGATATTTTAGTAGTTGGGGAAGGATTTGAATTTATTCTGTATTTCCATTTCAAAATGAGAATTTTACAGAGTTAGGAAACTGTAGGCATTAAATATTTTGTAGTTAAGTTTAGGAGTATGAGATTTAGTTCAAAAATAAGGTCTCATTCTGTTAATGACAACCTATTTCAGTAAGATAAGGCTCATACCTTGGATACAATCCTGTTAGTGTTACCTTTTATTAAATTATAAATTACTTAATTACCACTCTTCATAATGCAAATGTATAAACTTGTTTGCTAAGAAATGTGGACTTATCGTTCCAGTGTTCTCTGTCTCTATTTAGCAGTAGTCTTCCATGCACTTCTGTGCCATTTTAGCCAAAGGCTTTCTGATCAATCTTTGGTCCTCTTAACAGTGTGAAAACATTTTGCTAGGGGAAAGCAAAGCATTGCATTTTATAAATAAATTACTCCTAGCTCAGTTCTACCTTATGGGAAGAGAATTTTAGAGTTGTCTTCTTTTGTTCTTCTTTCTCCCTGTATCCTTCAAGTGCTAGTTAATATTTATTTTAGCTTCTTCCCGACCCTACAGAAGATCAGTAGCCTTACTTCATTAACCAAATATCACACAACAGTAGTTGTAATATGATAACTATTTGGACTAAGTTTGTAATATCTCAATAATAAGTGTTTTTTTTTTTTTTGTCTTTTGTCTGTTTTTTCCGTGTCCGGCAACGGATCGCAACCCTCAGTGTTGCCCCCGTACCGGACCAGGGACCGGCAACGGGATTGCAAACCTCGGTGTTGCTCCCACGCCTCGCTCAGCCAGTGAGCGGGAGCCGGTCTGTATGTGGGATCCGAACCCTCGGGCGGCAGCGCTGCCATTAAACATGTAAAAAGCTTAAAATACTGAAGAATTGTTAGTGATATACATCATTGTTAATTTCCAACCAGACTGTGATAACATATTCTATGCTTGGTATTCTTTTTTTTCCGGCAACGGATCGCAACCCTCGGTGTTGCGCCCGCACCTCGCTCAGCCAGTGAGCGGCCGGTCTGTATGTGGGATCCGAACCCTGGGCGGGAGCGCCGCTGCGCTCCCAAGCGGCGCACTGTAGCAATGCGCCACTGGGCCGGCCCTATGCTTGGTATTCTGTTTGGTGCCATTGTGTGTAGAAAATTATAAGACATTCATTGCCTTCAGGGAGTGTATATGCCACTTGTAGAAGATTGTCAACTTGTGTTAAATTAATAGTTAAATGCTAACTTTTGTGATACAGTGTTTAATTAAATTGTGTGATAGAGACTCTTACAGAATTTCAGAATAGTATAATATTTCTGATGGCTGAAGTAGTCAAAAAACAACTTGGTTTAAAATTCCACTAGGGATAGCAATGCTGAACCTTTACCATACCAGAATATTGATATCATGCTATTTGCTAAATAGGATTTAAAATCAGGGATACTTAGTTGGAAAGGTCAAAACGCATATTTAATTTGCTTTAATGACACAGACAGCATTATGTTGAAGTTGTAGGATTTTTCTGTAACTGAGAAGACACTTCTATGTATAATACAATATTTGTCTCCCTATATCTTGCAATCTCAGCTGTCTAGAACATGACTAAGTACAGTCAAGGGCAAAATAGAATTCCAAGTCAAAAGACTAGATAAAGCTAGAAGACCCTAGAAGACCCCCTTATGTATTCACTTAAGGTTTACTATCTCTTATCTAGTACTTTGACAAGCTTAGCTGTGTGACTTCTCAGTGAATTAGAAGGTGTAGAAGAGGAGCGTGTGGAGACAGGCATACTGACTGCTGTTGGAGTAACTGTAAAATTGTTCTAATTCAGGATGTGTAGCAATTTTAAGCAATTTAGCCTGAGGGCTAACCACTTTATAAATTATAAACATCAATAGCCCCCAAGAGTGTAATTACTTTATAACAAAATATAATAGTGTATTTCCTCAATTTTAGGATATGTGTATGTACATATATGTATTTACATCCTAATATTTCTGAAATCAGATACATCTTAAAAATGGGATGTATATTTAATGCAATAGTAGTAATTTTTGCCCTGGAAAAAAATCATTGTCTCATAGTCAGTGGAATCTTATAGAGGACATATGGTAACTGATATCTGTAGTGGAAGCACTCTTAATGAGGAGATTCTGTTATTCTGGGTCTTCCTTTTAAAAATAGAATGCTTTATGTTTTAGACGGATTTCCATTAAAGTTGTTCTGAAGAGGGAAGTACTGTTTAAAATTTGCATAAATTATTTAGAAAATGTGTTTATGTGGAAATTCTTTACTTGAGATAAATCTGATAAATGAGCATTGCTGTTTGTTTTGATTTCGTTAAGATGTGGTGATAAACTAAGTTTCCTGGATTAGGATATCGAATTTGAATTTCACTTTTATACATTATGGGTTTATTTTGTAGGTGCCTAAGCCTATGCATCAGCCTGTAGTTTCTTCCTCTACCCTTTCAAAGGATCCAGTATCGAGGAAAGAAAAACTGCAGGACTTAATGACCCAGATTCAAGGAACTTGTAACTTTATGCAAGTATGAGTCATTTAAAAAAAAATCTTAAATGATATACATGGGGCTACTAACTTCTGATCTGATGCTTTACTGTGAAATTGTTGTTAAGAGGATAGATTATGTTGTCCAAAATGAGTGCAAATCCTGGCTGTGCTGCCTCCTAGCTCTGAAGGTTTAGGCAAATTATTTGATTCTGTCTCAGTTCTTTTTTTGAAAAATGAGGATAATAATTCCTACTTCCTAAGTTTGTTGTGAATAAAAAAATGAATTAAACATGTAAAAAGCTTAAAATACTGAAGAATTGTTAGTGATATACATCATTGTTAATTTCCAACCAGACTGTGATAACATATTCTATGCTTGGTATTCTTTTTTTTCCGGCAACGGATCGCAACCCTCGGTGTTGCGCCCGCACCTCGCTCAGCCAGTGAGCGGCCGGTCTGTATGTGGGATCCGAACCCTGGGCGGGAGCGCCGCTGCGCTCCCAAGCGGCGCACTGTAGCAATGCGCCACTGGGCCGGCCCTATGCTTGGTATTCTGTTTGGTGCCATTGTGTGTAGAAAATTATAAGACATTCATTGCCTTCAGGGAGTGTATATGCCACTTGTAGAAGATTGTCAACTTGTGTTAAATTAATAGTTAAATGCTAACTTTTGTGATACAGTGTTTAATTAAATTGCGTGATAGAGACTCTTACAGAATTTCAGAATAGTATAATATTTCTGATGGCTGAAGTAGTCAAAAGGTTTTGAATTTTGGATTTACGCTTGGGTTTAAATTCCAGTTCTACCACCTACCACGTATATAATCTATAGCAAGTTATGTAATGTCCAACTCTCTACTTATTTGCAAAATGAAGGAATTGTCTACTCCTTCTGTGCGTAGCTTAAGTATGCAAAATGTTGGAAACTTTTCTGAGAGAACCAAGATAGGCAGATAGGAGAGAATGGTTTCTCATCATGAAAGTGTATAATAGCATGAGCTAGTAAGTGGCTGAGATAAAATAGAAACTCATTGGTTGGGTAAAATAAAGCTGAAGGTTCAGACTAGACTGCATAAGTGCTTATGTTTAAGACTTGAGGTTGGGAGTTTCTTTTCCAACTTAGGCCTTGGGATAATTATTTTAGCTTTAACACTTGACACAACATTAAAGTCTGGCAGTTACTTTCGATTTTATTTTTAACTCTTTATTTCTTCTATAAAGACTAAATTTTTAACAGTTTGAGATAGTTATTAGCTAGATAACTATAGCTTTAGCAAGATAACTACAGTTAAGAAACTGTGAGCAACATCATGAATAATTTGATAGTAATGGCTTTTAAGTAATCTTTGTTCCTACTCATTATTTAAAATCTTGTCTTTAGGAGTCTGTTCTGGATTTTGACAAACCTTCAAGTGCAATTCCATCCTCACAGCCGCCTTCAGCTGCTCCAAGTAGCCCAGTAGGTATGTAATCATTCTAAAGACTGGGGAAAAACAGCTTTAGATCTGTTGTTTTCTTTCTTTCTTTTTTTTTTCTTTGAATTAAAAATAATTTTATAGCAGTTTTAGTTTTACAGAGAAATTGAGCAGAAAGTAGATAGTTCCCATGCCCTTCTCCCACCCACATGTACAGTTTCTCCTATTATTGACATGTGATGGTAGTGTGGTACATTTGTTAAAATTGTGAATCAATATTATTATTATTAACAATTTCATATTAGGGCTACCTCTTTGTATTGTACAGTTCTATGGGTTTTGCCTAATGTGTAATGTCATGTACTAACCATTACAGTATCACGCAGAATAGTTTGCTGCCCTAAAAATCTTCTGTGCTCCACCTATTCATCCCTCGCTCCCTTATCCACTGAAATCTATCTGGCAACCTTTTTTTTTTTTTTCTTCATTATCTTAAGCATTTATCATTTCTTTAAAAATATGGAAGTCTTCATGAATTTGCATATCATCCTTACGCAGGGGCCATGCTAATCCTCTCTGTATTCCAATTTTTAGTGTATGTGCTGCTAAAGCAAAAGCTAACAATTGTTTCTTTTACAAATGATTTTACTCTAGATATCTTAAGGGTTAAAGTAACTATGTCTGTGTGTTAATTCTAAGGGTATCCATCTGTTATCAGAGTTGTATGTGGGTAAATTTCCATTAGGACATTAGTGTACTTAACCAGCCTATTTGCATTCTTTGGAGAAAGTCTCCACTTGGGTGAATAGAAATGCCTAGTAGCTGTTGTTACAGTTTTTTATGTTCTTGGAGTGAGTTTTGACTAGAACTTGACAGCTTTGGACTCTCACTCTAGCGCTGTCTTTTGGATCCTAACTATGAGTGAGATTACCTTAGGGATGTGTAGAACAGTTATTAACATAGTAAATAATGATGGAGCGTAGATTTGAATCTGGTCTGATACTTCAAAGCTTGGGCTTTTTGCTTCACACTAGTTTCTCTCAGGCAAGGAGTGAAAAAAACCACTAGTCCAGCTGTAGTGAGCAGTATACACCAGCTGGAAGATTGGTGCAGTAATTCTTGGGTTAAGTAAGGAGAATAAATAGAGAGTAATTAACAAAAGTGATGGACATTAACAAGAAAGAAAACCAAGTAATTGAAAAGATATTAGTATACATAATCAGAGAGAGAGAGAGGAAAAAAACTTAGACAGTTGACCCAGCTAAGACTTACTTTGAAATTTGTGAAACTTGAGTATATCAGTTATTTACTATTCTTCATAGCTCAGGTTTCATCTTCCAGATTAGTATTACCATTTATTTTTAAAAGTCATAATTTTTTTGGGGGGGAGCCTTGAAATGATGCATCTGTCGATTTAACCTGTGTATCACAGATGGACCTAGTATTTCCTATACGTCTAACAACCTTCTCTGACTCTTTTTAAAGCTCTAATAGTGCACTGTGGACTTGACACCTAGTCCTTCCAGCTAATGCTTTTTTTGTAAAGCGTAAACTTTAGTTACCTCTCAGTTGATATGCATAAACTCTCCCTGCCCCCAGTAATTTACTGTTTACTTCACTCTCTGCAGTACCTACAGAACAAAATCTGTCCAGTCAAAGTGATTTTCTTCAAGAGCCGTTAAAGGTAACTTCTCCAAATTAATCTTTCATTTATTCTTCTTTACTATTCAGGGAAGAACATCTTGCTTTGGGGAAGAGTAATCAGACCTAATTCTAATGTACCTAACTAAATTATTAAAAGTGTCCTAAGGATATCTAATTTTTTAGATTAAGTATAGCTGGTCCTAAAAAGATTCCCTGATGGCTATGCTGAAAATGTCTATTATATTAGAGGAAGCTAACTGACTTTAGTAAGGGAAGACCAGGCCTGAGGAATTCAGAGGTATTTTGTCTGAGAATATTACTTTCCTATTGAGCTATATAAATCACTTAGTATTTACTATCAGCATAGTAAAGGGTCTGAAGAAACTAATTTTGTTTAACCTATGGTTAGCCAGTCCCCCCCCCCAACATAATAATTAACATTTTGAGAAACTAATTTTCACAGAATACAGATACAAAGGACCAGATCATTGAGATATCTAAACTCTACATTGCATTTCCATCAATAGTAAGCCCAAGGTTCACTTGTTTTCTGGTATACCTTAAAAGAAAATTTCTCAGTGTCCATCTGAAGACCTTACAGCAATTTTCTTGGCAGTAGCTGCTTTGGCAGTAAGAGAAATATTTTGACCAGTAGGTTCAACAGTTGTAACCTTGCCTTCTAAAAACTTCTGAGTAAATACCATTTATTTACAATGGTTTATATATAGTTTGATGAGGTGTGGCTCAATTTTCAAACTGTATTTGTTGAGCAGTTTATATCAGTGGGATTTTGCCTTACCTTCCTCCGTTCTACTCACCGCTTTAATAAAAGCAGTTCTGTTTTTCTGTTTTATCTGTTCTAGCTGTTAGGGTTGTACATAAGGCTTTCAGTTGACAAGTTAAATTGTTTTGGGAAGCCACTGGTTTAGCATAGTGGTTCTCAGGTGCAGGCTTGTGGGATGGCTGTGTCAGAATCCCCTGGTCACTTTAATAAAATATATTTTAAGGTATCACCTTAGACCTAATAGAGCTGAATTTCCAGGGGTGTTATCTAGGCATCTATATATATATATATATTTTTTTTTTCCTTTTTGTCTTTTTTCGTGACTGGCAACGGATCGCAACCCTCAGTGTTTAGAGCTGAATTTCCAGGGGTGTTATCTAGGCATCTATATATATATATATATATTTTTTTTTCCTTTTTGTCTTTTTTCGTGACTGGCAACGGATCGCAACCCTCAGTGTCGCACCCGTACCGGACCGGGACCGGCAATGGGATCGCAACCCTCGGTGTTGCGCCCGCACCTTGCTTAGCCAGTGAGTGGCCGGTCTGTATGTGGGATCTGAACCCTGGGCGGGAGCGCCGCTGCGCTCCCAAGCGACGCACTGTAGCAGTGTGCCACCAGGCTGGCCCCAAGGCATTTATATTTTTAATAAACTTTCTGAGTGAATCTGCATATCTGTTTTTTGAACCACTGGTCTGCCACTAGGCTGGCCCCAAGGCATTTATATTTTTAATAAACTTTCTGAGTGAATCTGCATATCTGTTTTTTGAACCACTGGTCTTTAACATAATGTTTAATCACCAGTACTGAAACTGCCTTCAGTTTGTCTACTTAAAGAGCATCATTTGGAAGCAAGAACTGTTGCAACTTCTAAATAAATGCTAATGTAAAGAAAGTGTCTTTATATGTTTTGTTAAATGAACCTTTTGACTAAAATTTAAGTCTTTTAAAGCTTAACTATCTAGTGGCCTATGCTGCCTTAACTCAGCATCTGTGAATCTTCCCTTAGCAATAGCGTTAGTTATGTCCCCACAACAACCAGTCCCACTTTTTTGGGGGCAGTTGTCTCATTTTAATGAGAGCCAGAAAAAAGGCCTGGTTTTAGAAACACAATAATCTCATAATAGTTCTAATATTTTGGTCAGATCTAAATTATGCCTCTTTATTTAGGTATATAAAATGTTCCAAAGGATTTAAAAAAAATTTTTCCCTAGAGATCTTTTAAAAACTTGATTCCTACTCTCCTTGAGAAGCAGCATATCATTATAGCCCCTCCTAGAAGGTCCCTGAACACAACTTCTTAGATGTTTGGTTACCACTCATTAGTTTCTTTTTTTTTTTTTTTTTGTCTTTTCCGTGACCGGTAAGGGGATCACAACCCTTGGTTTGGAGTCGCCCGCACCGTGCTCAGTGAGTGAGCGCACCGGCCAGTCCTATATAGGATCTGAACCCACGGCGGGAGTGTCGCTGCGCTCCCAGCACCGCACTCTCCCGAGTGCACCACGGGGCCGGCCCAACCACTCATTAGTTTCTAATTCACCTATTTTACTACTTGAGAACCACATAGAAGCATTTAGGTAAAAGGAGAAGATTCACTGACACTTTAGACCTTGCTATTAGTGGATTTTTATGGGTGTGTCTCTTTATAGTCTAATATCTATTGTGGCATAGAATTCTTTCCTAGGCACTCTTTTATGTTTCATTAAAAAAAATTTTTTTTGTTAATTTGGTAGTTGGGTCAGGAAATTAAGTGGTGTGATTATTTTATTGAAGCAGGTATTTGTGAAGCTAGATTTTTTTTTTAGGAAGTACATTCTAAGATGTTAGCGGGGAGAGGGGAAGGGGATTGGGGCTGGTCCACAGCTGGCCTGGTTATGGGCAGGGGTGGGCAGGGGTGAGGCCCCTGGACTCCTGTCTCAGGACCTCTAGCCACTCTTTTAGTTTTTTATTGGTTACAGTTGTCATGGCTTTAGTTCCTACTATGCTTTTTATGTAGTATTAGCTTTAACTTTTCGTTAGAATTTTGGTGTCATTTTGATTTATGTAGAGCTTTTCCTTCCTATTTATACTTCTACCTACCTCTTTAAGACACCGAAAGCACTTACTGTAAAAGTTTAGTTATTATGATCTCTGGCAGACTTGCACCCACAGTGTTAAATGTGGCCTGAACTCATCTTCAATGAATACTATTAAGTGTCAGATTGAAAATCTGGCCCCAGGTTTCCAGGACCAAGAATCTTGATAAGGTGGGGATTAGATGTGTAGTTTTGGTGAAGGCCTGGAAAGGTGGTGTAGAAGGCTGCTTGGGTTTGAATCTCAGCTCTGCCACTTAATTTTAGTGTGATCTTGGGTACATTCCTTAACCTTTCTTTGCCTTTGCCTGATTGTCAATAAAAGGAGATAGTAGTATCTACTTCACAGGATTATTGTTAGGCTTAACAGTATCAATATGTGTAAAGTGTTTGTTTAGAATAGTACCTGGCACTAGTAAGACTTAACATATTAGGAAGCTCAGAGCCCAAGAAATATAAAGTGAACAAAATGTGCCTTTTACAATATTTTATATCTTCCTGTGTTTAGGCTGCTTCTTCTCCAGTTACTTGTAGCTCAAATGCTTGCTTGGTTTCTACTGATCAGGCTTCTTCGGGATCTGAAACAGAGTTTATGACCTCAGAGACTCCTGAGGTAATAAAAGACTAATTGTCTTCATTTCTTTTCTGTCTTAAAGAATAGTAGAACCAGCTTATCTTATGACTTTACAAGCATGATCAGTTGAATGATGTAACATTTATACTTTACTAATGTATTGCTTTCTATAGATGTTATGGTCCTGGAACTTATACAGGTAACTTTATTGTGGCTTTGCCATATAAGTAAATGTAAGTAGTGCATATAAGTAAATTTAAATTACCTTATTTAATGCAATAAATATGTCAATTTTTAATAAAAAAGTGAAAAGTTTTAGGTAGGATTAGGTCAGGTTTCTCACTATATTTAAACTGAAGGAATCCTTAGAAAAATATTTTATTCATATAACTGAAGACTATTTATAGTGTTAATATTATCACTGACCTGAGTTGGAATGAGTTACGGTCTGTTTTTGGCTAATTTTGTCAAGAGAATTTTGACAGTATTATGTTTGTGCTAAGTTATAGTTTTTACTAAATTTGAGTAAATCCTTGAGATAGACATAGGATAGGATGAGTTTTGGGGGGTAATTTAGCAACTATTGGGTTTTATTTTTGGTGGTAACTCTTATGCAAGAATATGTAGGCAGAGGGGCTGGCCAGTTAGCTCAGTTGGTTAGAGCATGGTTTTGTAAGACCAAGGTCAAGGATTCAGGTCCCAGTACTGACCAGCTTCCAAAAACAAAAACAGAAACAAAAACACAAGAATATGTATTCATTATAAAATATAAGAAAACATAAATGATAGTTTTTATGGCACTTACTTGGTCTAAATTGAAATTACTTGGCTCCTCATTTTAAGAAGAGGAAGAAGTGATTGTTATGAAGTGACTCACAGCTGTCTGCTTTATAATCTCATTGGGATTGGTTTTTAGTATCTTTTTAAGCCTTTGAATTTATATTCTGTTATGTCAGGAGCTTGCTTGTCCCCTTAGATAAGGATTGTTTAAATTCGATCAGGGTTGATTTTCTTTTTCAGGCAGCTGATTTAAAATAGAGAAAAATTAACTCTTACTAAGCAACTAACCCAAGGTTTTTCTTAAGTCCAATTCTGTGATAAGTTTGGAATAATATTAGCTGGAAAATACCATTTTGGGGTTTAAAAAGGACTAGGTGCTCATAAAAAGTCCAGCCCCTCATCTGTTAGACTGATTATTAGTAAGACTCTTTCACTTAGTCAGCAAGCTGTGCAAAGCAAATACTAGTGTGCACCCTCAGCAGTTGAGATTTGAAATTGTAAGCAAAAGCTATTCTTTTGCATTCCTGTGTCCAAATGTCATCCTAAAGAACTTGCTGACTTACGCCGGTTTGGGGTTTAGTGTAAGTTAACTGCTTGTTACATGGCAGGTGACTGGCTGATGCTGCATTTCTCCTCCCCAGGCAGCAGTTCCCCCAAGCAAGCAACTGTCTTCACTAGCTTCTCCAAATCCTCCCATGTCAAAGGGCTCTGAACAGGGCTTCCAGTCACCTCCAGCAAGTAGTAATTCAGTAACCATTAACACAGCACCCTTTCAAGCCATGCAGACAGTGAGTATGAAACATGAATGATGATTGCAGTTCATTATTCCTGTTAAAAGCTATTGTTTTTCATACATCTATTATTGAGTACTATGTGTACAAATTTGCCTTTTATGTTACTCTTATTTGGGCTGGCAGATTTACATTTGTCCAGTGGAAATACTGTTTGTGGTAGAAGAGTATTAAATCCAAAGTCTCTAGAATTTTGAATGAGTTTTTATTGGAGTATTGTTTGGTCACTGAAAGTTAGTAGCAGGCAAAGCTGAAGACCCATATTAAACAAATGAAATATGTGAATGAGAAACGTAGTTTTCTAGCAACAGCTTAATAATACTAACCTTTGCTAATACCACACTATTGTTCCATAGCACCAGTAACCTGAAATACAGGACATACCTGGGTGTTCTATCATTGGTGAAACTTTTATTTGATTTCATTCTGATCTCATGCTGGTTCTTGGAGATTTGTTCAGATTTGTTTGGTGTTTTAAATTATGTATTCCTCTACAAATTGTAGTTTAAAACTTTTTAAAGGTAATATTATAGCTAGATTTGTATATTTATTCTCTAAACACAGACTAATATAAAGCAGTTCTTCAGAAAACAAAAGCAAACCTTAGCCAATAATTACCTTTCCTGATAGTGCTTAATGTCCCATCAAGACATTGGAGTGATGGTAGTGGGGTAGGGCTAGTCAGCAGCAATGGAAAGCAGGCACATAGCAATGGAAAGCTATGCAGGGAGATAGCTGATGAATTTAGACACCTGAGTTCATTCGCTTTATCACCTTGTGCTTGGTCAGTTAGAACAAAGTTTCCTTGCTTTCACTATTTACCTGTCAGTTCATCCTGCACAGTATTGCCATGTTGATTTTACTTTTTTCTTTTGCCTAATTAAAAGTGAACAGTGGTTCATTGCAGAATGAGATTGAGTCCTTTGCCTGACACTCAATACCTTTTGAAGTCTGGTATAACCTGCCAGACTAGTCCCTTGAGCCACCATGTACATTCTTGTTACAATACCTTTTGCTCATGCCAGTTTGTCTTCTCTGTCTGTTTGAATCCTATCCAGTTCAGATTGGTTCTCACTCATTTATTTATTAAACATATAACTGAAGCCAGGCACTGTTTTTAATCAGTGGGGTTGTAGCAGTGAAAAAAAAGAAAAGTCTTTATGCTCAAGAAACTTACATTTTATTATGGCGATACAAGTGCCAGAGAGGAAAATATTCATTTATCAGGTGGTATGTGGTATAAGAAAAAATTGAGCAGAATAAAGAAGCTAGAGAGTAGTAGAAGTGCTATTTTATAAAGCATGGCCAGGGTTTGGATAGGTCATTGCCTGCCACATACTAAAAATTCAGTAAATGGTAAATTATTTCGTTCATCTTTAGTTTTTGAAAAAGGGCCCTCTTCCCCTAAATAGCTTTCATTCTTAGTAAGTGTTATTGTGATAGCATAATAGCAGGAAGATTAACTTTTGCTCTTGGGTATAAATTCAACAGGAATCACACAGAAGTTTTATTTGTTTTTTACTGTGGTAAAATATATATAAGACAAAATTTACCATTTTAACCATTTTTTAGTATACAATTCAGTGGCCTTTAGTACATTGACAATGTGCAACCATCACCACTATTTCCAGAACTTTTTCATCATTTCAAAAAGAAGCTCTGTACTGATTAAACAACTCCCTATTTCTCCCTCCTCCCAACCCCTGGTAACCTCTTTTCTACTTTATGTTGCTACGAATTTATCTATTCTAGGTACCTCATATAATATTTTTCTGGTTTATTTCACTTTGTATAATGTTTTCAAGGTTCATCCTTGTTATAGCATGTATAGAATTTCATTCATTTTTATGGCTGAATAATATTCCATATTATGTATATACCTCATTTCGTTTATCCATTCATTTGTTGATGGACACTTGGGTTGTTTCCACCTTTTAGTTATTGTGCATAATGCTGCTGTGAACCTGGGAGTACAAATATCGATTTATTTTCCTGCTTTTCATCGTTTTGGGTATATACCCAGAAGTGGAATTGGTGGGTCATATGGTAATTCTATGTTTAATTTTCTGAGGAACCACCATACTGTTTTCCACAGTGGCTGCACCATTTTACATTTCTACCAGCAGTACATGAGGGTTCCAATTTCTCTACATCCTTGCCAACATTTTCTGTCTTTTTGATAATAGCCATCCTAATGGGTATGAAGTGGTATCTCGTGTGGTTTTGATTTACATTTCCCTAATGATTAATGATGTTGAGCATGTTTTCGTGTGTTGGCCATTTATCTTCTTTGGAGAAATGTCTGTTCAAGTCCTTTGCCAACCAAACAGAAGTTTTTGAATATTGTAAAGTTTTGCGGGATGCCACTCGTAAGCGTTTTTTATGAAACTTCATGAATGACTCAATGTACCCTGTCTTTAAGGTATTTAATGTTAACGCACCTCTGCCTCCACGGAAAGATCAAGAAATAAAAGAATCCCCTTATTCACCTGGCTACAATCAAAGTTTTACTACAGCAAGTACACAGACGCCACCCCAGTGCCAGCTACCAGCTATACATGTGGAACAAACTGTTCTTTCTCAAGATACTGGTAAGATCTTTGCATATGATATTTTGAAGACTTAGATGACAGTGAATTGAATAATAAACAAGTCTTAGGGGGGTGGGGAGGAGTGGGTAAAGGGGCATGAAAATCAAGTACAATGTATTTCGAGAAGTAAAATAAAAAAAAAAGAAAGCAAGTCTGTAGTGACACTTTTGAAGTTCTTTCTTGACTAGTAACCACCTAATGCCTTTTCCTTTATTCAGGTAAGCTCACTTATTAATTTTAACTTTTGTCGAGGTAGAACTTAGATGGTTGATTTAACCTTGAAGTATGGTTGTATTTTTAAATCTGCTTGCTTTGATTACAATAGACAGTGATTGAAGTAAATAGGCACTATCCAGCTGCTTTTATGAAGGTTTTGAAAACAGTAACCCTTTTATCACAGACAAATAGTTATCTGGCCTTTTCTCTTTGCTTCCTTCACATTGATTAATGTGAAGATGTAACTTAGTATTCTTATTGTACTATCTGCTTAAAGATGGGAGACTATTTTGATCTTTCATCAAATGATCTATTCTGAATCATGAAAGAATAGGCAACTTTGTACTTATTTCTTAACGTAAGAAGAATTTGTAGATTTTTAGTGTTGATATTTCAGACACCTATTGAGTTTTCTAAAACTTAATCCTGAGCAAGTGAATTGAGCATTCTGGGTACTTGAATAATCAGATGATGAAGAGGTAGTAAATGTAAATCCTTGGACCTAGCCACAAATGATTCTATTCTCACCTGTACTGTTGAGAGATAGTGCAGGTGAGTTACATAAAGGATGTTTTTGTCTCATGCTTCCTCAATTATAGTATTAATTAGAATTCATTTTCTTTTACTCCCTTACCTGGAATATTTAGACTATTTTTTTGAAAAATTGTGGTAAAATATACATAACATGAAAATGATCATTTTAACCATTTTTAACTGTACAGTTCTTTGGCATTAAGTTCATCCAAATTGTGCAACCATCACCACCATTTATCTCCAGAACCTTTTCATCTTCCTCAACCAAAACTCTGTACCCATTTAACGCTAACTCCCCCTTCTCTCCCTCCAGCCTGTCAACCACCATTCTACTTTCTGACTCTATGAATTTGACTACCCTAGGTACTTCATATAAGTGAAATCATACAATATTTGTACTTTTGGAACTGGCTTATTACAGTTAGCATAATGTCTTCAGGGTTTATCCATGTGTCACATTTCCTTCCTTTGTAATACTGAATAATATACCATTTTATGTATGTAAATACTCACATACTTGTGTATCTCCTGTGTTTTTTTTAAAAGGGAGAAAATTATATTAAAGGTTTTGCTATATATCGGCTTATAAGTATAAAAAGTATTGTACCTTTTGTTACTGTTTAACTCTTGGATTCTTTTTTTTAAAAGGGAGAAAATTATATTAAAGGTTTTGCTGTATATCGGCTTATAAGTATAAAAAGTATTGTACCTTTTGTTACTGTTTAACTCTTGGATTCTAAAAATATTTACTTAAGCAGCAAATTATCATCCTGATGGAACTCTTCAAGTAAGCAATGGTAGCCTTGCCTTTTACCCAGCACAGACGAATGTATTTCCAAGACCTACCCAGCCTTTTGTCAATAGCCGGGGATCTGTTAGAGGATGTACCCGTGGTGGGAGATTACTAACCAATTCCTATCGGTCCCCTGGTGGTTATAAAGGTATGCTCTGAATAAAATTTCATTATACTGAATTATTTTGTCTATATATTTATCTGACTTGAACCATTTTTACCTTACCTTGTTCTCTTTTGTCATTGCCATTTATAACAGTAGAAAATTCCCTATTTGTAGATAATAGAGTATTTTTAATACATCTGTTCTCTAGAAAAGAGGAACTAACTTCTGTATTAAGGGCAGATTGATCCTGTGACTTACTGAAGTAGAAAGATCAACCATTTTGTTTTTCTAGGGATGAATTTTGTTTTTCATATTTGAGTAGTTTCCTTCTTTTGTTAATTGACTTAACTCTGCTAAAAATATGTCATAATTAGACATTGCCCAATTTCTAGTTGTCTGTCAGACTATACTACAGAGAAGAACATAGAATTTGAGACTGTGATAATGATATTTTCTTAAGTGATCATTATGGTTCCTAGTTACTGCTTGGTATTAGCAAAAAATACTCTAAAGAGAGGTTGTAAGTACCTAATTGCCCTACCACTGCTCCTTCCCAACCTCCACCTGCATTCTAGCAGTAGTAAATTTCTAAACTTGGCTTAAAAATATGTTTTACTGTGGAAGCAATATTAGTAGAGTTTGCTTAAAGAAGGCATATCAGTAATGATAGCATAATAGGATCACTTTAACTTTTAAAGTGATATAGAATTAGAATATTAGAAAGTTTAGTGTAATTTTGCCCATAAATTTATGTAAGTTGTTTGTTTGTTTGTTAGGTTTTGATACTTATAGAGGACCTGCTTCAATTTCCAATGGAAATTATAGCCAGCTGCAGTTCCAAGCTAGAGAGTATCCTGGAACACCTTATTCCCAAAGGGTAAGTAAAAGTAGTTGTCATAGTTAAATGGTGTGGTAAGTAGGCGATGTTAAATTGGTGATTAAGCTATAGCATAGTCATAATTTGTTCTGTAGAAGTGTACTCTTAGTTTTAGAACTGCTTGTAAGTCCTATGGAGAGTTGAAGCTTTTCCAGTTGCCCAAAGAGTATAAATGATGACTGCCAGTTATGTGGAACTTAGAAGGTATTAATGACTTTATTCATCACGTGGTTTGTATGAACTCATTCATCACTCTACTTTATAAGAGAACAGGTTTAAAGGTTAAATAACTTGTCTAAGGTCACTTGGCAACTAAATGGTAGAACTAAGATTAGAATGTGAGTTTCTTAACTCCAGAGACCATGAACTTGACTTTACTACAGACAGTCCCCTACCAATGATTGTTCCACTTAGTGATTTTTTGACTTTGGTGCCAAAGCAATTTACAGTGGTGCCAAAGCAATACACATTCAGTGGAAACTGTACTTCAAGTATTCATACAACCATTCTGTTTTTCACTTTCACTAGTCAGTAAGTTACATGAGATATTCAATACCTAATTATCAAACAGTCTGTGTTAGACAATTTTGCTCAACTGTAGGCTAATATAAGTGTTTTGAGCACATTTAAGGTATGTGAGGCTAATCCATGATGTTTTTTCGTTTAGGTGTATTAAATGCATTTTTGACTTAGGATATTTTCAACTGGTGATGGGTCTGTTGGGACATAAACCTATCCTTAAGTCGAGGAGCATCTGGTTATATTGCTTTTCAGTTTAGTTTGCCTAAATATCAAGTATAGCAGAGACCTCTGCCCACTGCCTTTTTTTGGGGGGGGGCAGCTGGCTGGTATAGGGATCTGAACCCTTGACTCTGGTGTTACAAGGTGGCTCTCTAACCAGCTGAGCTAACTGGACAGCCCTTTCTTTAATAAGTTTATTTTTTTGTTTATTCTGATTTAAGTGCCCGATTTAAGTGATTTAAGCAGATTTTCTTTACTACGTACGATGGAAGCCTGACAGGAGGATGTTAGACATTCTGCTTTAACAAACCTCGGGGACTTCCTGTCATTGGTCATATGTAGATACAAGTTTATACTGCATCAGTATTTTCAATTCTGAAGTTTTACAAGCCTTTGAGTGTGTATATGGTACTATACTGAGTTCTTTTGGTAACATAAAAAATACCTCTACTTGAAGAGCTTATAGTTACATGAGATAGATGTCTACACAGAGGCAGTATTGAAAAGGGACAAAAAACACACCTTGAAATCTAAATGACTTGGATTTGACTCCTGATTTCACCTGTTCACTTGTCATGTGACCTTGGTTATGTTACTTAAACTTTCTGAGCTCTAGTTTCTCATCTAACTCTGAGAGGTAGTGCGGATTTCTCCATGAGATATTCTGAGGAAATGAACTAATGCACAGAAATGCTTAGCACCACAGTGCCAGATGTGTATCAGCCATACAGATAATAGGTGTTATTAGTTGGTCCTCAGGGACTATATGTGTGGGGGGTGGGTATTGATTAATACAGACTTAAATAACAAAGCTGTCTGTTCTTAGCACCTGTATTCCAGTATTTTTGTGTGCTGCTTTACATTTTCTTGTGAGGAAATATGAGAAATTAATAGTAATGGTGGCTATTGCGAGGGGGATTGGGAGTCTGGAGTAGGAGACTTATTATTTTTATTGTGTACATTCTTCTCCTGATTAAATTTTTTGCATGTAGTTGCATGTAATAATTATACCAGTAATTATTCTTTTCATAGGTTGTATGGAGGCTGGCTTCTTCCAGTCAGTTTGAAGTGCTGCCTCTTGAACATTTTTTTTTTTTTTTTTTTTTTATGGAATCACTTTTCTGGGAAACAAATATTTTTTTTTTTTTTTTTTTTTTTGCATGTAGTTGCATGTAATAATTATACCAGTAATTATTCTTTTCATAGGTTGTATGGAGGCTGGCTTCTTCCAGTCAGTTTGAAGTGCTGCCTCTTGAACATTTTTTTTTTTTTTTTTTAATATATGGAATCACATTTCTAGGCAACAAATATTTTTTCTTTTTTTTTTTTTGGCAGCTGGCCTGTAAGGGGATCTGAACCCTTGACCTTGGTGTTATCAAATCTCTGAGCAAACCAGCCAGCCCAATAAATACTTTATACAATATAATTCTTATCAGTTCCTCTGTCCTCCCCACCAAAAGTCCAACCCCAACATAGTTTGGCTTATAAATAGAACAAGATTGAAAAAAAAATCTGTGTTCTTGTTTTATTATGTCCTTTTATATTGAGATGAGAGATAGAGGATCATGGCACATTTTTGAATTTCCCTTATTACCTAGCATTGTGCCTTCTACATAATGTTCTCTTAAATGATTTATTGTTTTGGGGAGTATTAACATATTTAATTTGTCAGTTTAATTAATAGGTGAAACATGTATTGCCACTGTTACCCTTGCTATATTTGTTTTTCTTGGTGTTTGGATACATCTGAGCTTCTCTGGTTGCTGGGGAAGGCCAGATAAAGAACTAGGAGGACTTTAATCTCGCAGATTTACCAGCCAATAATCCTGTGTAATAACTAATTATGGCCCTGCATTTTTGGTGCCAAGGTAAATATTATGTGTTCATTTTAGGATAATTTCCAGCAGTGTTATAAACGAGGAGGGACATCTGGTGGTCCTCGGACAAATTCAAGAGGTAAGAGTAATTAACTGTTTATTTGCCCAAAACATATCCATAGTTCTTTCTGCATCCTGTGTCACGTTCTCCCCAGAGCACTTTGCTTTCAGCATTTATTTTGTTGAGGTTTTTAGTTTGTAGAAGTATAGTTCTGAAGTACTGAGGGAGATATTAGACCACTGGAAAGGCTATGGAAACCAATTGTCAATTTAATTAAAAGTGTGGTTTCTTTTTTAAAGAAAAAATTGCTTTATACCAGAGCATAATTTAATCTTATGTATTTAGTTTGCTGACTTCAAATAGTTTCATGTGATGTTTCAGGATGATGGTTTTTATAATAAAGGTACTTCTAGTTACTCTGTTGTCACTACATTGATAGATTTGAATAATCAACAGTTAATACATAGTGACTTGAAACAAGCAGGATATTTATAACACTTTTTTAAATGTGATGGAACTATTAAAAGATACAGTGTAACTGAGAAAATCAAGAGTTTACTGAAGATTAACTAACTTTGTCATAGGAAAACAATCTTTTCCTTTTGAGAAAGTAGCCAGTATTCATACTGACTTCACCTTATTTCTGAGCAGAGTGGCTAGTAGTTCTAAAAGTTCCTCTTACGTAATCGGTTTTCTTGAGTCCTTCTACATTTACTACTTTGTAGAAGATTGATTACTGAGGAATTAACTGAATGAGAATTACGGGAGGAAGATAAAGAAGTAAAAAGTGTTCACACCTAGGTTTTAGACTTTGCTAAACTTAACTGTAGTAAGTTATCCAGCCTTTTGGATAGTCATATTGTCTTAATCTTAAAAAAAAAAAAAAAAGCCAATTAGATTGTCTAGGTTCCTTTTGGCTTTAGAATAGTATTAGAAAAGCCTATTGCCAGAAAAATCTAGAAAAATATAATTAGCTGTACTTTATTGCTTTTGTTTTGGAATTTACTATAAAATGTATCTTTATCTGTGTTTCAGTAGCCGACTAATGTTAAATATTGTGTTCAAAGCTAACTGCTTCATTATGAGAAACTCACTGTTGCTAATAAAACAGCAGGGTGGAGTGATTCTTCTCAGGTGAGCAGCCCAGAAAGAGACAACGAAACCTTTAACAGTGGTGACTCTGGACAAGGAGATTCCCGTAGCATGACCCCGGTGGATGTGCCCGTGACAAATCCAGCAGCCACCATACTGCCAGTACACGTCTATCCCCTGCCTCAGCAGATGCGAGTTGCCTTCTCAGCAGCCAGAACCTCTAATTTGGCCCCTGGAACTTTAGACCAACCTATTGTGTTTGATCTTCTTCTGAACAACTTGGGAGAAACTTTTGATCTTCAGCTTGGTAGATTTAATTGCCCTGTGAACGGCACTTACGTTTTCATTTTTCATATGCTTAAGCTGGCAGTGAATGTGCCACTGTATGTCAACCTCATGAAGAATGAAGAGGTCTTGGTATCAGCCTATGCCAATGATGGTGCTCCAGACCATGAAACTGCTAGCAATCATGCAATTCTTCAGCTCTTCCAGGGAGACCAGATATGGTTACGTTTGCACAGGGGAGCAATTTATGGAAGTAGTTGGAAATATTCTACGTTTTCAGGCTATCTTCTTTATCAAGATTGAAAGTCAGTACAGAATTGACAATAGAAGGATGGTGTTCTAACTAGTGGGATTAAAGGAAAAGTAGTCCTTGCCCTCATGACTGACTGGTTTAGGAAAATGTTTTCATTCCTAGAGGAAGAAGGATGTCCTTACTTTTTTGTTTTCCTTCCCAAGATGAAAAATTTCAAGCTGAATGACAATTAGCACTAATCTGGCACTTTATAAATTGTGATGTAGCCTTGCTAGTCAAGCTGTGAATGTATATTGTTTGCACTTAATCCTTAACTGTATTAACATTCAGCTTACTAAACTGACTGCCTCAAGTTCAGGCAAGTTACAATGCCTTGTTGTGCCTCAATAAAAAAGTTACATGCACCTTCTTTGTCCCTATTTGATCAAACATTTAGTTGATAGGTAAAATGTCTAATTTTTAGTATTCATCACTGATATCTCTTAGTTATTTATTCAGGGGTTCATACTACTTTTTTAAAATAAGAAGACTTTTATATATAATAATTTCCTCTAGAGTTACTTTTCTCTGGTGGTATACTTGGACATGTCATTCATTAAAACATTTGATCTGTTTTCCATGGGCCAAATCACACATTCTTGTTGAATTATACTACTATTTTGCAGTAGGGCACGTGCTTCCTTTAGTTAACTATCTTTGGGTACCTATTCATGTCAAATAATACAAGATACGATAGGAGATACACAGGTAATAATACTGGTCCACCATCTGTGAGACTTATGCTTTCTAGTAGATTCTCAATTTAACTTGAGTAGGCAAAACGGTAAGTCATCAGAAAGCATAGCTCTGTGGTCAGTTAATTCTGCATTTGAGTCCTGATTCTGCCACATAGTAGCTCATCTTGGGGCGAGTTATTTTGCCTCTAAGATTTTTCTCTGTCTGTCTGTCTCTCTCTCTCTTAAAAAACTGTTTCCCCAGATGTAAAATGGGAATGATGATAGATCAACCCCAGGGCAGTTGTGAAGTTCAGCTAAGAATATCTAAAAGATTTAACACAGTGCCTGAGATATAACCATTTAATAAATGTTGGTGCAGTGATTATTTTTTTCTAATCCTGAAAACTTTGTAGTTCTATGTATGTGTATATACAGATGCTCCTTGGCTTATGATGGGGTTATATTTCAGTAAGCTCATCATAAGTTGAAAATATCCTAAGTCGAAAATGCATTTAATACAACTAACCTGCTGAACATTATAGCTTAGTCTAACCTACTTTAAACGTGTTCAGAACACTTATGGTAGGCTTCAATTGGGCAAAATCATCTAACACAAATCCTATTTTATAATAAAGTGTTGAATATCTCATATAATATTGAATACCAAAAGCGAAAAACAATGGTTTTATGGGTTCTTGAAGTATTGTTTCTACTGAACGCGTATGGCTTTAGCACCATCATAAAGTTGAAAAATCCCTAAGTCAAACAGTTATAAGTCAAGACCAGCTGCACGTCTTATGCAGTCTAGCAGTCACACTGCCAAAGTTTAATGTTCATTCTAAACATACAACATTTTCTCACACTTAGTTTAAGCTTGTGTATCTTTCTCACTAATAATTTAATAAGTATTTCATTTCTCAATTACAATCATCCTTCAGTATCTTTGGGAAATTAGTTCCAGGGTCCCTTGTGGATACCAAAATCCATGGATGCTCAAATCCCTGATGTAAAATAATGTAGTATTTGCATATAACCTACACATATTCTCTCATATACTTTAAGTCATCTCTAGGTTACTTATAAATTAGTTCCAGGGTCCCTTGTGGATACCAAAATCCATGGATGCTCAAATCCCTGATGTAAAATAATGTAATATTTGCATATAACCTACACATATTCTCTCATATACTTTAAGTCATCTCTAGGTTACTTATAGTACCTAAAACAATGTAAATGCTATGTAAATAGTTGTATGGTATTGTTTTTTTATTTGTATTTTTATTATATTGTTTTTCATTGTTTTCCCTGAATATTTTTGATCTGCGGTTGGTTGACTCTGCAGATGCAGAAGACATGGATACAGAGGGCCGACTGTACTTTAAAGAATAATTTTAAGAAGTAAGCATTTTGGTTGCAGTATTCTAGAATATATTAATGGTTGGAGAAGAGCATTTTTACCCATCAGCCAAATCAAAGCAAATCATCTCCTGAGGCAGAAATTTGCTGTTTTTATTATTGTCACTCAGAGGTGTTACGTAATCTCAGGAAGATGGTATCAGAACATTACATTTTTTATAGTTAATATTTTTGAGCTGTCTGTGGGTTCACCAGTTAAAACCTTATACCATGTTTAGTTCTACATGGTCTTAAATGTTCATAGAGTGTTCTTGATACAGAGGATGTAATGTGATTCCCTATTTAACAGAATATTTTTCAGCCCATGGTAGATACTTTGTGAGTTAGAGATGTTATTATTCTAGTTAAGTAAAGTAGTTCATGGCTTTTATGTCCATAACACAAACTAAAAAGTATACAGAAAAGCAGTAATATGATTAAATGATTGAGGGGAAAACCAGATGTTTGAGAAAAATTGGTGACTAAGTTCAACAGGGTCTTTCTCTAGCCATTATGTTTTCTACTGTATCAGGGTCTTTGGCTTAGTCTTTTTCTTTAGTACACAATCAATGCTTATTTAAAACATTGTGGGAAACTCTTTATATTTTTTTAAGGTAAGTGTCCAACAACAAGAGATTCATTAACTAGTGTATCTCCTCATGATAATAGTCATATTTTAGGAGAGTATTGAAAATGTAATACTAATTTGCTAAGTATAAAGACAATGAACTAGATATTATTAGAGATATTATTAGAGATATATATTATGAGAACGAATGGATAAGGTCTTTCATTTTGAAGCAGAGAATACTAATTTGCTAAGTATAAAGACAATGAACTAGATATTATTAGAGATATATATTATGAGAACGAATGGATAAGGTCTTTCATTTTGAAGCAGAATAACATTTCGACGATCTGGAAGTGGTTAGTGAAAGCTCAGATATCTGTAGAAAGATACACACACGCACAGAGTTTACATACATTTGCAAGAGATGTAGTGGGGATCCATAGGTATCTAAAGCTCATTTATGTACATTGTGTGAACAACTTATACTTTACTGGGAAGATCTTATTATAGTGATGACTGAAGTAGAAAGGCATTCTATGTAATTACTATTCCATATAATTACTTGAATATATAAATACTTAGTTGTCTTAGTGAAGGTGGAGATGGTGGAGGTAAAGTAAGTTTTCTATTTAGTAGATTTTCCCCTGAGTTCTTCTTTCTCACTTGAAATCTTTTGGTCTTTTGTTAGATTTCTCCCTATATCCAAGAACTGCGAGCCACTGACTCTTATCTCCTCTAAAATTATTTGAATAAATGCAGGTATTTAAAGCAAGATATTTTTTGAGATATTTGGTCACTTGTCCCCTGTAACATCTGTCAGTCATCTCATTTTTTCTGAACTCTATAATAGCTCTATTTCCCAACTTTTTCAACTTCATAATAGCTATATATTTTTTACAATCCTTTGACATCACATACTGTGTTTTTATACTTTAATCTTTCCTGCTTGCAGAGTTAAATTTACCTCCTTAGCTTTAATGATCTGATGTTCTGTTGTGATCCTTGTGATAACTAGGATGACATTTTATTTATAAGAGGAAATAATTGTTGGCATATAGAAAGTTTTTCCATATGAATTCTTCTACCCTCTCCTGCCAAATACTTAAATAATTTTGATGAAAACATTTAGATTTGTCTAAGTCCTCTGCTTGCTATTCTATCTCAGGGGTATTCTTATTGACCACTTTAGTGATTAGGCTGCAATAAGTTTGTCTCAAATATTGACTACTAGTAGATAGAGTTCATTTGCTACCAGTGCAAGACGTTGAATTCTAGATTATAAAATATTGTCCTCCATTATTAATACCAGAGGACTTAGGCTCACTAATTCTAAGTTTCTTAAGCATTATTCCTTCATTAATTTTATTTCTTAGACCCCATACCTTGCTAATGATTAATTTAGTCTTACAGATATATGTGTTATCTGATTTGTACCTGACTCTGGGCCTACAAAGATGAATGACATTCAAATGTTCAGACACATCAAGTACATCAGTTTCATCCTCAGAGAAAAATCTCTTCTTGAGTTGTTTCTTTGGTTTCTGTCATACCTCTTTTTTCTCTTCTCTTTATCTGGAAGTGTTATATTTAAAGACTAGACTCTTTAGACCAGTTCTTTAACTTTCTAATTTTTTTACTTTTTTCTAAGTTTCTTTTATTGGGAGATTTTTAATTTAATCTTCCTATCTTTTTACAGAGTTTTAAATTTCTGCTAACAATTAAAATTTCTAAGTACACCTGTTATCTCAATGTTTCTTATCTATACTTAATTCTATTCTTGTTTCATGATTGCTTTGTTTTCTCATTACTCTAAGGATAAAGTTTTTCCTTAAAGTTTTCTTCATGTGTTTTTTTTTTCCCTACACTTTTTCTGTTTATTCCAGTTTCTTATTTGTATTGCTCAGAATCTTGTGATAACTGGTTGACTGTAGATATTTAAGAATAGGGCACCAAAAAGATGATTGGAAGCTTTGAATCAAAAGTGGGACTTGTTGACTTTGGGCTTTATATTAGCATAATTTGGGGGGGAGGCGCCAGTGTGTGGTGGGTATGGAAGAGCATTCTAAGTGGGGCACAAAATCCAGAAGTCAAAGGATAGATAAATTTGACACAGAATTAATTCCCCCCAAACTTCTGTTTGGAGGGAAATATTAAAGTAACACAAAAGACCACCTGCAGTGAGAGGAAATCATTTTTTTTTTTTCCCTTTTTGTCTTTTTTTACTGACCGGTAACGGGATCGCAACCCCTTCCGCGCTCCCAAGCGGCGCACTCTCCAGTGCGCCACCGGGCCGGCCCGGAAATCAGTTTTAAAAAGGGCAATGGATATGAGAAGGCAGTTCATACCTGAAAAAAAGGGGGGGCGGAGATCAATAGCCATATGTTAAGTTTTAAAGGGAATACTTTGGCAAGCATATGGGGAAATGAACACGTATATTGTAGATGGGAATAAACATTTTTGGAGGGTAAATTGACAACTCAAAAAAAACACGTGCTTTTGGCTTTGAAATTCCACTGCTAGGAATTTACCCTTCAAATGGTTTTGGAATTATGCCAAGATACATGCGTAAAGATATTTTGTATAGAATTAAGTATAATAGCAAAGACTGGAGAAACAACCTAGATGCCCATCAATAGGGAAGTAGTTAAAGAAGTCAAAAGAGAAGGTAAAGGGCCGGCCCGGTGGCGCACTGCTACAGTGCGCCGCTTGGG